AGGTTTTTTTTTTTTTTTTGGCAGAAATCCGCAGGTAGCTCTTGAAGATTTACTTTTGTTGACAACAGTCGGTTTAACAGTGCTTCTCATTACAAGTTTGGGAAATGGTTGATACATGTTGTATTCCCAAATGCATGTTCTAAGCGACCCAAACTCTGAGCGCATTTAGAGATAAGTTTGTGTGGAGCAGCATTTACTGTGAACAGTGTCGCAGCGATACCAAAAACACAAGATCATGAGCTGCTCATGTGTTAAAGAACACAGTACACAGTATTGGTTTAAGCCTAGTGGCCAGACTCTAGGTTTTGGTTGGTCTGATGTCAAATAGTTTCGCTCTAGTGACTTTCTTGGCTTGAAGTAGCTTTAAATGTTGATGATTTATTGGCTTTTCTTATTCTTTTCATATAGTTGGTTTAGGCTACTCCAGTAGTTGATGTTTCTGAGCTAGTCTGCTAGTTTTTGTCAAAGGAAGTGTGACCTGGGAGATCTTCTTTGACTTCAGCCATCTCTTATACACCCACAATACACACATGGACAGCAGATCTGAGCTGTAGCTGACTGGCACTTCACTGCCTGAGTGGCTGTAATCTGTCTGATTTCACAGAGCTCAGCTGAAGAAAATGCTCTGTGCTGTCATTCTCTATAGTGACCATTGCAGGAGGAGCAGAGCAGCCCAGTCTTTACATGTTTACATTGTCTTTAAATGTTTTCTTCCTGTGTTTTGTGATTGTATAGAACCAGCATCTGAAGGAGATCAGCATGCAGACGCCCTCCACCTCACCCAGCACACAGTCTATGGGTAGTGTCAACAACCACACTGCGGGCATGGACCTGTTCACCAACACCACAAGCCCACCCTCAACAAACAGGTCACTAACATACTGTACATGACTGCAGTACATATTATACCATACAGTAATACAAAGCTCAGTAAATCTACAATATATGCTAAATTGCTCAATTCCAGTCCTTGCGTGCCACCGCTCTGCATATTATGCATGTGTCTCTTATTTAACACACCTGATTCATATAACCATCTCGTTAGAAGAGAGCTCCATGGATGAACTGTGTTCTGATTGACATGGTCCCTACACAGTGTTCTTTGCTTCACTTTGGAACATTTATTCACTGATTTGCGCTTCACCACGGCCTGTTGCGTCTTCACACACAGACGAAACTTACAAGAGAAGTGTGACATAATATACCTCTGTAAATAAATAGAATTTTCAATTCACATCTCGCACACTTTAATGCCCTTTGAATGGAACGTACGCTCCCTTCGAACTGGAATCATGGCAGAATATCCTGTGATGCCCATTTCGCAGGGCACTCACGGTCAAAGAAAACACACGTCTGAAGTGCTAAGAGATACATACAAAATGTGCACAGCGGTGGTACGCGAGGACTGGAATTAAGAACCACTGTGCTAGTGTGCATACGTCAGTCTTGAGATTTTGGGATTCAGAACCATTTTAAACTGGACATAAAGTTTTTATTTTGAAATAAAGAAAGCTTATGTCAGACAAATTAAGAGATATTTAATATTCAGTATACTTTCTAGGTCACTAATCAAATAACAAAATTGTGACTGATAATATGAAGAGATTGTCACCTTAAAATTTATATTTAGATATTAGTATTTCAGCTTCTTATATACTGTACAATAGGCCTGTCATGATAACAACTTTTTGTTTTGTGATGTATTGCCCCAGAAATAATTGCGATAAGCGATATTATTGTCATTTTAAAGACCATTTTATGCCACTGAATATATAATCATAATGTAACAGCATAATAATGCAAGAAGGCCTACACACTTCCAAATGACAACAAACTTTTAATTTTTAAGAATATTTAGATCATGGAAATTAAGTATCAAAATATTACATACCTTAAAAAACTTGAATAAATAGTAAATAATTTCTAACAAAAAGTGCAAAATAACAAGTAGAAAAAAAGAAAAAAACACAATCACTACTTAGCAGTCAGATGTCCGTATGCACAAAGGCACAGATCCCTAAACAAGGCCATATCTGCAGATGAAACTTTTTTTGTAGAAGTAATTTTTAATTTTTAAATTTTAACTAGCACCTCATGACTACACCACGTTATGTACGAGAAGCTGCAAAAGACATAGGAACAAGTGGAATGTACAAAACAGATTAATTTTTAAGTAAATATAATGGGCGATATATTGCATCACCAAAAATTATTGAGGTCATGTACATGTATTGTGCGATAAGTCGGTATATTGATTATTGCGACAGGCCTACTGTACAATATTACACAGTTAAATTTTGCAACAATTTAAAAGATGTCTGGTAGAACTTATTTGATGTATTTGACAACTGTTGGGTTGTTTGCTGGTTTTAAACCCGTTGGCATCATGAATCTCATGATTGTTGTGGGAGCTTCCTCGCTGATGATGCAACTCCCACAACAGGTTGATTGTCGTAAGAAGTGAACGGACGGTCACGACCCAGTCTTTTCGCCCTACCTGGCTTTTAATGCTTTTTTGAGGTGTTTGCCCTTTTTTGGCTCTGGACTCTGAGCTGCTCAGTGATATACTCCAAATGTGCCATTGGTGAGAATGAAAAAGTCTTTGTAAGACCTTTAAGAACTGGGATGATTTAAAAAGACCAAACCATTGCTGTGCAGTAGGCTCACTAGTATCTCTTAATGTTGCCTGCATAGACAAAGTGAAAAGGAAATCACTGGACACTTTTTAGGGGAAAAAACCCAGCCTCTCTGCTTCAGATTAGTTTTCAAAGCCTTTACAGAACTCACAAAGACTGAAAAACAGCATATTTAGACTGTGCTGTACACTATGTATGAAAGGGGAGTACTAGATGTCGACATCTACAGAAAAAGAACTGACACACTTTCTCAAAGTGAGTTGATGAAGCCACTTGGCCTGGTGGTGCAGTATGGGATTACATTTCTGCCGCAATTCTGCACGCAAAAGATCATATTTTGAGCGCACAAAAGTGCGTTTTGCACGCGCGCGAACTGAGTTTTGTGGAGAAAATGTTTGTCTCGCAAAGAAGAAAGTATTTCGAGCACACGAAAATCAATTTTGCATTTAAAATAAGTTTTTGGATGTGTGCAGACCTACTCTTTTGCGCGTCAACGTTTCACTAGCTTGCTCACCTGATGCCCGCCCTCAGTGCTCTCTAAATGCCAACAGCTCGCGTGCTCAACACAACCCAGCGTTACAATGTGCCATAATTCCAGCCAATCAGAGACTAGGCTGCTAAATTCTGATTGGCTGCCTTGACAACCACTCACAACATTCCTTGCATTACCTCGACAGCAGAAGAGGAAAAATACAGTGCATGCATAATTATTATGCAAGTTCATATTCTGATCATATTTTTTTATCATATTCTAAGCACATTTTACCAATTTCAAACGACATCAATCTTAATAACTACTATTAATCTTGTATTTAATCATTTAGAATTGATATATAATTATTCATGAAGGCTGGAAGTGAAAAATGTCTTATATTCAGGTGTGCATAATTATTAAGCAAATTTGCAAGCTAGTGAAACGTTGCACGCGCAAAAGAGAAGGTCTGCACATATCCAAAAACTTATTTTAAATGCAAAATTGATTTTCGTGCGCTCGAAATACTTTTTTCTTTGCGAAACGAACATTTTCTCCACAAAACTCAGATTGCGCGCGTGCAAAATGCACTTTTGTGCGCTCAAAATATGATCTTTCGCATGCAGAAATGTGGCAGAAATGTAATCCCATAGTGCAGCACCTTGAAAACAATGAAAATCACAGTCCAGTTGCTTTTGACTAAGTTCTACCAGACATTGTACAATGATCTATAAATGTACGATTTTATTTTATATATTTAATATATTTTAAAATGTAATTTATTTTTGTGAAAACTGTGATAACTATTTTTTCATGATTCCTCGAAAAATTGAAAGAAATAGAAATCTTTTTTAACAATGCAAAATATCTTTACTTTTGATCAGTTTAATTTAATTGCTAAATAGAAGTTAAAATTTCTTTAAAAAAAAAATCTTATTGTCCTCAAATATTTGAAATGTAATCAGATGTCTTGTAATTTTACTTATTAAAGTTTATTAAACTTACTTGTAGTTTGTACTGTGTTAAATATACACAGTCTATGTGGTAGAATTTGATTGTATTACTTTTGTACTAAACTCTGTTTCTCTTGTACAGCATGCCAAACCTCACCAGTGACTTGTTTGACCTCCAGCCTGCCTTCATTCCTGCTGTGCATTGCACTCCTATCTCCACCGTCAGCAATGCCTGGGGAGGTGCGGCCCACTCCATCCACATACATCCGATCACCGATACCATGTCTATTGCTTTACCACTTTAGATCACTGACCTTTAATTTAGTCCCTGAAAAATCATTAGAACATATCAATCCTTTGAAACTGACAAGACGTGTAGCCAAGTATGCTGTCCCATACTCACAATTCGTGCTCTGCATTTAACCCATCCAAGTGCACACACACGCAGCAGTGAGTAGTGAACACACACACACACACCCTGAACACACACACTCAGGAGCAGTTGGGGGTTCGGTGCCTTGCTCAAGGGTCTCACCTCAGTCGTGGTATTGAGGGTGGAAGAGAGCGCTGTACATTCACTCCCCCCACCTACAATCCCTGCTGGTACCGAGACTTGGACCCACAACCTTTGGGTTACAAGTCTGACTTTCTAACCATTAGGCCACCACTGCCCCCAAGAAAGCTAATAGGTGTGCCCAACGTGGGGCTCAAGCCCACGACCCTGAGATTAAGAGTCTCATGCTCTACCGACTGAGCTAGCCAGCCTGGTAAAGACAAAGGCGGGGAGCATCACACCAAGGGCTGACATAATGGCTGTAGACTGTTGGGTAGTAGTTTGCAGTGGTGTTCGTTTTGCAGAAATATGCATTAAGGGCATCATGATTGCATAAGGAGCACTCTTCTAGATTATAAGATGAGAAATGAGACACCCAGCGATTTTGTGGACTTCACTCTAGAGGAATCCACATCAAGTGTGTCATTTGAGATGATACCCAATGATGCCCCAAACAGCTGACCAAGCAGCTTGCCTGTTGTGTAGATTTAGAACAGTGTTTTAGATATTCTGAAGTGTGACCGATTTGGGTGCTTTTCCGCTGAGGGATTATGGCTCTAGTTGGGAGCTGTGCTGAGTGTCAGAGGTTCATTTGCAGCAATTCAGCGTATCTGCTGGGCTAGTGTGAATTGAGGACAAAAGGTGCAGAGTGTAGACACACTGCCAGATTCTTAGCTATGCCAGGATTTGTAGGTCACAGTATGCACTTGGAGCGTGCACTTTACAGCTAGTGGGCAGGTGCGCCAAGGGCTAGCCAGACGCACAACGAGACTCAGGTCTCCAGGGATCCACATATACTACTAACAGTGCAAAGACACACCAATGCAGACGGAGGGATAAGGTGTTTAAAAAAAGGGAAAGACTGTTAAATAATGAGGAGAGCAGTGAGAAAGAGCCACAGGCTCAGATTTAAGATGTAAATTGTTATTTACATTAGAAATCATGCAATAATAATAGGAATCCACTATCGGAACACTCGCTGTTTCAAGTGCTTTGGCTGAAATGGTATTTAATTACATTTTCAGACAAAAATGCATTTAATGGCATTCTCAGATGGATGATAACTGTTATCAGAAACTTTATTGTAGAGGAAAAATATGCATGTGAAATGGTCCAGGTTTAACTGGGTTGCAAAAAAAGATTATATTGTGATTATTTTGACACATTGCAATTGACCATTTTGATATGATGAACATAAAAATCACATTTGAAATGGCATGTGCAAAACTATAAACTAACTAGATTAATTAGCCTTTTTACATTAATAAGCCATATTGTTACTCAGATTTTATTTTGATGAATTGTGCAGCACTGGAATCAATCTAAATAGTGGCTGATTGGTGACATCTTCCAAGAAAAGAGGTCATGTACACTACCGTTCAAAAGTTGGGGGATGGTTGTTGTTCTGCTTAATTTTTTTGTGGAAGCCGTGATGATTCTTTGATGATTCCAAGATTCTTTGAAAAATTGAAAGTTTAAAACCGAATTTATTTGAAATGGAAATCTTTTGTAACACTACATTAATATCTTTACTGTTTCACCCTTCACTATTTCACTCTTGCTGAATAGTATTAAAAAAAAAATCTTACTGACCCAAAACTTTTCAACAGTAGTATACAAATGAGACACTGGCTGCAAAATATGTTTGACAATTTGAAATTACATTTTAAATGACAATTATAATTTTGGTGCATCACTGTTATACACTCAAGTCTGATCCAGTAATCTCAGTGGTCAAAAGATGAGGCAAAACTTTCATAGTTTTTTCACAGAGCAACAATCACGATGTGTTGTGTGACATCTTTCCATCTTTCCATGTTTTGTATGTGTGTGTTACTCAGGTCTAGAAAGCAGCACTCTTCATCCCATGGCTTCCCTGTCCACCATGAATGTAGATTTTGATGCTGTATTTGGGACTAATGCTTCCAATAGTGATGTGAAGCCATCAGCTGGTAAAATGTCTCACAAGTGTGATCATTAACTGCGCTTATTAATCTCTGAAGATTTGACCCTTGTCATGGTGCTTAATAACTGCAAAACTAAGTAACCTTCACCCTAAAATAAAACCCTTCTGCTGGTTTTGCTGTATTTTGAGTTTGTGGAGCTTTGCTGCTGGAGCGCTGAAACAAACTGTACAGTCGGCTGCAGCACCTGCCCGCCTGACTCGGTTCTAGAGAGATTGGGAATGTTCTTTGGGGAATCGCTCATGCTTTTTTTTTTCTTCTCCACTTACTCGCTCACTTTGCTGCTCTGTGGTTGTGGACCGTCTGTTATCATCCCTTCATCCATCTACTGTGTGTGTGTGTGTGTGTGTGTGTTAGTGGAGGCTGGGTGCTGATTGGCATTTTTCTCCATCTGTGAATCGTCTGTTGTTACACTCCTTATCTGAACACAGAAAAGACGCACACAGATTTCCACTCACCACTACACTCAGTCACTCTCTGCCCCTTTACCTTGCTTCCTGTCTTTTCTTTTCTTGGCCCCTTTTTTCTTACCTTATGCTTTTTCGTCTCTCCCCCCCCACCCCTGTTCCCTCTCCTATGCTCTCTTTCCTGGGTTGTGATGGCTGATCTGATGTGGTGAGTGTACTTGGATTTTTTTTTTTTGGTCTCCTTGTTCCTGCTGGCGAAGCAGGAAGTAGAACTGTATAAATATGGCATGTGTCAGCAGACTGTCTCTCGCTTTCTTTCTCTCATTTACTAAAAGAATGAGCAAAATGCCCTATGCTATTCACCATTTGAAAACCAGTTGTCAGCGGCCTCTTCAATTAATGAAACCGATCAGCTTTTTGAAATTCAACATTAAATTGCATTCACAACAATGTTATTTTTGTAGTATTTATATACCATTACAGTATTGTTGTATTTTTCATTTGAATGTTTTTTTGTAATTTTGAGTTTTGATTTTTATTAGTGTCAGTTTTTTAATATTTCTGTATTTTTATTTTAATGCTTTTATTACTTAAGCATTCACTTTTTTTAATTAGTTGCCAAGGCAAAACAAACAAACAAAAATTTCAGCTTTATTTTAGTTACCAAAAACCAGTTTTAATAGTTTGTTACCAATAACTACCCTGATTCAGAACATATTTTACGTTTGTAATGTGATATATTTTTGAATTATGAATTTTGAAATTGTTTGGATTGTGATTGGGCAATCCTTAAAAAATGGAGACAATGCTGAAAGTTTGCAGTTATTTGTAGAAAATATGGATGCTGAAGGTCAAGTTCACTTTTGAGAGCATTGAAGTACTGTGATAACTATTGGCTAGATTTTAGAAAGTCTGTGTTCGTCTAAAAACAATGTCTAAATAGCTGTTGGTTAACATTTAATCAGTAGCCTGTGTGGCTTATGTCAGCAAAATAAAAAGGAAAGGAAAGAAAAGTCGTTTCTGAGAGTTATTACATTTTATTTAAAGACTACAAAGACTTTTTCCCTCTTTGAAATAACATGCACTGATTAATCATCGTCAATAAGCCTAGAAGCATGTATTAAGAAAATAAAAAGAACCAATATTTTGCTTTCATGTTGACTTTATTGCCTCCATAAGGAGAAGAATGAGACAAAAAGGGGATGTCAGATTTCCAGTTTTTCATGAAGGACCTCTGTCATGTTATTCCCTCTTAGATCTCAGGGTGGTTCCTCTCTTTCTGACATTATGTTCTGCTCTAGATCTCTATGGGCCTTTTGTCATGCCGTGAGTGGCCTCACAGAGGCTCATTCCCGCTGCTCGCATCATTATAAACATCAGCAGGACTGCAGCACGCTTTCTCTTGTCTCACACCTGTCTCTCTGCTCTATAATACTTATGCCCTAACCAGGCCTGATGTGACAAGTTTCCAGCTGCAAACAATTTGCAAAAACCGCTGCACGATATGACATCCATTGAGAGCGTATTTGATGTTTAATGTAGTTATATTGAGTTGTAATGCGCTGATCTCATTTTTTCTTTTTTAAGACAGTCGATCAATACGGAGTACTGATCTGATACCGCTGTTCATCTGTACAGATTAAATTTGATCCTTTTTAGCTAACCTTAATAACCATGACCAACACACAGTAGCGAATTTGGTTTAGTCAAGTCCAACTGATACCCAATTCATTTAAATAGGTCAGCAGCAAAAAAATCTAAAGAAAAGCTTTTATTGCTGGTTGCTTGACATATCGCTTCTGGTTAGGTGTCAGTCTGCAGCAAAAATAAGTGGTTTGTCACTCTCATAATATTTAATCAATGGAATAATATTTTCTCTTTCTCTGACTGTTAGGAGACTTGTTGAAGCCCGCGGTGACCGTTCACAGTCAGGCACCAGTCATGCCCCCTCATACAGCCAGTAAACTGTTGGCCAATGACCTGGACTCGTCCCTGGCCAACCTCGTAGGCAGTGAGTCCCTCTCTCTCGCAGCATTATTGGTCTTTTTGTGTGGCTTTCTTTATTTACTTGGTCATAAGTCCCTGACCTTCAAATTGCATTTGTGCCTCTCTACTGAACAGAGAGTCAGCAGCCATATGGTGCTATACGCTATGTGTGTGCGTGTTGGACAGAGATGAATTAAACCCAGCTTAGGGGAAATGAATAGGTCTCCAATGCTGTAAGTCTTCCAGTAGCTGACGTGGGGCTGTTCTAACAGTCTGTTTCTTTTTCCCGCTCTCTTTTTAGACCTGCACTTTGGGGGAACACCAGGCAAAAAGTGAGGATTTACATTTAATTATCTAAATCATTGCTGCTCGTGAGCTTCACATTGTAAATAGAGGCAGTGTGTAGACTCTCTTTTCATGTGTTTGCATGCAGGTCTGATATGCTGTGGACTCAGCCTGGAGAGAGGAAGCTGACCGGTGGCACTAACTGGCAGTCAAAGACAATGAGCAGCACCACTGCCTGGAGCCCCGCCCCCTTGCCACCTGCCGCCATGCCACCCGCCGCCATGCCCGTGCCACACTTGGTGAGAACACACACATGCACACACACTTAGATGCACACTCTCACTTACACATAGTGATACAGGCATCTAAATATACTTGAACTACCTTTCAAAATGTTGGGGTTGGTAAGTCACCAAGGCTGCATTTATTTGATGATAAAGTAAAATCAGTAATGTTGTAAAATATTATTACATTTTAAAATAACGGTTTTCTGTTTTAATAAATGAAGTTTAATTTTTAGTTATTTCTGTGATGGCAAAGCTGAATTTTCAGTAGGCATTACTTCAGTCTTCAAGATCACATGATCCTTCAGAAATCATTCTGATATGCTGATTTGTTGCTCAAGTAACATTTCTTATTACTATTTATGTTGAAAACAGTTGTTCTGTTTAATATTTTTATGGAAACTATAATATATATTTTTTCAGGGTTTTTTAATAGAAAGTTCGGCATTTATTTGAAATATAAATCTTTTATAACAATGTTAAAGTCACTTTACTGTTACTTATGATGAATTTAATGCATCCTTGCTGAAGAAAAGTTTTAATTTCTTAGTGTACATTCAAACAGTAATATATTATTTTCAATACACTTGATTCCGTTTGGTCACTTGCAGATTTCTGCAGTCAATTTTTTTGTATAATGACACTAAACTGTATAATTGACCAGGCAACCGATTTCCTGCATCTCTGTGCTATTTTTATTGTCACTCATATCACTCTGCAGACTCTTTCTTCTCACATAACAGTAATGTGCACTTAATATTTCATGTCCATTTATTTATTAGTACTGTAATGATGCAGGTTAATGATCAGTCAGCTGCTCATTGTAGCAAAATAAACAACTTTAGGGTATGAAGGGGTCTTCACTTTGTTCACCCTGTGACTGGATAACAGTACATTTATCCCTTACTTTATATACAGACATTCTTGCATATGTAAACATTCTCATTCACACACAAAACATCAATTTAAATATTCTTAAACTTATAAACCCAAAGCAATCCATCTGTTGTAAAGCTCAATTTACACCAAATATCCAGATTTCACTAGTATTCAGATGGCAAAAAAAAAATTAATGAGTTCATCTTTACTATTGTGTTTTATATTGTGTAGCTGCAGGAAATATAAGTGTGTGCGTGTTTCTTCCTGTTCTCAAGCTGTGTGTATTGATCCAGTCAGGCAGGTGATGTGTTAGTCTGTTCTGAGGCAGGAAGGAGAGGAGTTTTCACTGTTTACGTGTGTTTATGGCTTCTCTTCTCTCTCTCTCAGGGCGTTCAGAGTAGATTGACCTCTGAACTGCTTGAGTTGAGAGAGAGCAGATGTCTGTGAATGACTAACCTTCAATGTCTCTCTTTCTGTCTCTTTCCACCTTTTCTGTGGTCCGCATCTTTCTGGCCTGTTTCTCCTCGTGTCTGATGTCTTCCACTCTCCTCACCCTATCTGCTCTGTATGTTTCTGTCTTTCTCTCTATCTTCTTTCTTGTGCTTAACCCAGCAGACTGGAATGTTCTATACTAGTTATGTAAGTACCTCCAATAACTGACGGTTCTATTATCTTGAGTATCGTTTCAGATGGATCGATTCTCTCTTACACATTATTTCTCTTATTCACTCCCATTTCCCTCTCTTTCACACCTTATTTCTTGATTTCTATCTTCACCTATTTGGTCAGTGTGTTACATTTTCAGTAAATTGAGTTGTGAAAATGGGAATTGTGGGTGAAAATGGGCAGTTACTTGGAAGAGTTTCTGAATGAAAAGGAAAAACACTCTGGTTGTGCTTTAAAGTGAAATACAAACCATTGTCAAATTATAATCTTGTGAGGTGTTTTTTTTTTTTCATTTTAATTTATTTTGACAAAATTGTCCCCCCCCCCTCCTTTTTCAGTGTAGATTTAAAAACCTTAAAAATGTCAGCATTATTTTACAGATCTTTAGATATTGTTGCATCCTTACCTAATAATAATAAATAATAGTAGAACTGTTAATATATATGGTAATTTGTCGGTATGCATATATCATATTTCATATCATATCATAGCAGAATGTATATGTAGGGTGGCAAAATTCTGGGAATTTTCAAGACTGGAAACTTTCCATGGGAATTAATGGGAATATATGGGAATTAACGGGAATTTATGGGAATAAACTGGAAATTTGCAAAATTGCAGGAACTGGGGACTTGTATTATATAACTTATTTTAGCTTGAACTTGTTTACCACAGTGGCTTTTTATGTTTCATGTACTCTTGAGACTAATTAAAAACAATAGTTTGATGTCTCTCTATAACTCTGGTTCCAGGCCGAATGACCCAAAAACAATTTTCTCACACTGTGTGAATGGGCTAAAAATGTATACTCCATGTGAATAGGCCTTTACTGTAACTTCTAACACCTTCTCTATTGCTGATAAAACACAGTAAATGTCATATGTTGATTTCCCTGTGACATATAGATGTTTGTTCGGTCTCTCATGCCCTTTCTGTAGCATTTGATGTATTCATCTTTTGGAGCTTTGACTTGTAAACCAGACTTGTGCAAATGTGTGCGTTTGGGGGCTGCATTTTACGTAACCTGTTTACGATTCAAAACAGATGAATACATGCTATGTGCCAACGAATACATCCATGCTGCTCAGAATAGTGTAAAATAAGGTTTTAGGCTTTTAAGTGAGTGACAGTTATTCAGGTAAGTCAGTGTTTTAGGGACAATAATTTCAGACATACTCTACCATTGAAAAGTTTGGGGTCAGTAAGATTTTTCTCTTTTTTTTTTAGTGTTTTGAAAAGGCTGCACTGATTCGATCAACAACAAAAAAAAGTGAAACAGTAATGCTGTGTAATACTAATTTAAAAAGAACTGTTTACTATTTTAATATATTTTAAAATGTCATTTATACCTGTGATGGCAAAGCTGAATTTTCAGCAGCAATTACTCCATTCTTCAGAGTCACATGATCTTTCAGAATCACTATAATATGCTGATTTTGGTGCTCAATAAATTTTTCACATTGTCATCAATTTTGAGAACAGTTCAAAAGAAAGTCATTTATTTAAAATGGAAATATTTTAGAACATTATAAATGTCTTCTCTCACTTTTGATCAATTAAATGCGTCCTTGAACGGTATAGTAAAACGACAGTGTTGCTGAAATGCATTGTTTTATTTGACTGAGACCAAATGTATTTAAAAAAAACAAATTTTTACTCATTGTTTGGTGAATTTTTCAGTGTTAGGAACATGTCAAATCCTTGAGTCATATTGTTTTGCTTCAGTGTTGAATGGACCAGCCCAGAAATCTGTGCAGGAGAGTTTAAGTACACCTGACCTGTCACGAGTACAAAAGAGTAATTAAACAAGCTCTTTAAATGAACCAGACATGATTAGTGAGCACAGTGCTGTTGAATGAGTACACTAGTGTTTGATCAGTGAGTGTGTCATTGTTCACTCGATCAGTGCAGCATTGTTTGATCAGTCAGCGCATTGATGGTTGATTTACAACCTTTTTTTTCCTCACAGGCTCCTGCTCCCATGGCGTTTCCCATGACAACACCTCAAGTGCCTGTTTATGGAATGGTGAGTATTGTGACCTTACAATGGCTACATGGATATTGTGTAAATGAATTAAATGGGTAATGGCTAAAAGAAAATAACGCTGATTGTTGTATTTGGGTGATTTTAGGTCCCTCCTCAGCTGGGACAGATGGGAGGGGTTCCAGTAATGACCCAACAACCCATGTTGTACAACCAGCCTGTTCTCAGACCCACTAACCCTTTCACCCCCATCCCTGGGGCCCAGGTACACACGCACACGCACACATACACATACGTTAATCCACTATCACACACAGTGGCCTCACATGCATTTAATCCATACCACACTGCACTAATGCACCAAACCTTTGTATTGTAGTTATCTTTCAGTTTCAATAGACTGAAACTTAACATTGAACGCACAATAGACCACCTACTGTCTATTTATGCCATTAATATTAAACAAAAAACTTACACAGGATTAAATTGGTCTTAATAGTATTAACAGTATTAATAGTTCCTTGATGTTAATATTGTTTTAATAGTAATGTAGTAAAGACATTTTTTTTCTTTTACATTTTTAGTACTGTTACTGTTGCAATTTTTTGAAGCAATATTTACCTAATTGAGAATACTTTGAGACTATATGTCATTTTTTGCATATGTATTAAGTAGGGGTGGGAAAATAACTTGTTTATTTCTGTGATTAATATTTGTTCTTTAACATGTTAAATATAATTAATGCAATTAACATGGCATCTTTTTTTATTCCTGAAGTAGATTTTCTAATATGTTTATTATATATTTATTGTGGAAAATAAAAGTGCAAAATAAACTTTAAAGTGGGAAAAAATGAACTGACAGCTCTCATTCAGACAGAGATTTGATAGCACATTAAGTTCAATTGAATTAAAATTTGTTGTAATATTTTTAATGTTATGTAATTGTTAAAAAAAAAAAAAGATAAAAACAGTCTGATAATTTGCAGTGTAGGCCTGGATTTCAATTATAACTATAATGTTGAATGGCTATAATTACTCATTTTACACACAGCAGTAAAATCCATAAAATCCATTTAATAGAGGCAACAGTATAAATATTGGATTAAATATGATACTGGCCTTTAAAATGTTACATTTGTTTTTTACAATTCTGTCTTTATGGTTTTTTCATATTAATTTGGAGATTTAATGTGACAATATATGTACGATCACAGATTTTAAAGTTAGGCGTGATTTAATAATGATTAATTACAGAAAACGTATTAATTTATCTTTTAATTGATTGACAGCCTTAGTATTAATATTATATTATTTAACTTTTAAAATGTTGTTATAAATTATCATATTATTTAACTTTTTTAATTTAGCATTGTTAAATAGCATATTAGTTTTTGCTGTAATATTGAGAATCATCAAATTTCACTAGTATTCAGATTTCATCAGCTAATTTCACTGGTATTGCATTTAACTACTGGAATTGCAATATTGTAACATCCCCATCACACACACAAAAAACACACAGCTCCCTGCCTGTGGCAAGTGCACATTCTCTACTGCTGTATTCACACGGTCATTACTGAGCGATTCAGTGCTGTTTTCCTTATTTATAACTCTTCGTGTGTCTTTTTACAGATGCAGTTCATGTAAGTAGCACTTAAGCAGAGCGCCAAACAAGACGGCTGAAAAGAACAACAAGCAAGTGAGAGGAGGATCCGACTACCACCAAATAAAAGGAGATCAAGACTAAAAGAAAGAGTGTGCATATTGAAAGGAATGTGTTTGTGTCAAGAATGCTTACCTCACTGTCTGAAACGGCTTACCAAACACACACACACATAAACGAGAGCGCATACAGTGTGTCATTTTTCAGCTCTTGAGGTTCATTTCTTTCCTGGGGCACGGTGTCTACTGGCAGGTGTGATACATCATAGATATCGTAGATTTTATTGCAGATATTAAATTACCTTGCACAGAGCACTCTTCTTTTCTTTTCTTTTTTTACTTCATAATTAATATGAATTAGATCTAAAGCCCAACACAGTGGACTTCCTGTTACTGTCATTTTTTGCTCTGTTACGAAGATGCCTATGTTGAGTTCAGGAAAACAGTAAATGTCAAAGTAAATGCCCTGAACGGTGCAGGTTGCTAGATCATAAACACGTTTAAATGGCTCATTAACACAATGCCCTGGCTTCTCATTTCAGAACAAGGAAAGAATTTGACCTCTTATATAAGGTGATCTGAACCCCCAAGCACTTTACACATGCATTTATGTGTAACATTATATATAACATTGAGCTGGTCTCTTATATCTAGAATGTTAGTAGTCTAATGTTAACAAATAATGTGTTACTGTTACCGATGGCTACTGTTCAAAACGGTTAGTCAATCCGTCATTGTTTATACTGGTTTAAGGGTTTCTGTTTCAGACATGATGGTGGTCTTGCACATACATACGCGCACACAAATTGGTGTTACGTGAGCCACATGAAGAGCCCCCTCTCACTGGCCTCCCACCTTGTTTTGTCACTCCAAGGACACTGATAAACATATCTGCTCCTGCTCTTCTGTGTTAACCAAACATGTCACGCATTTACAACTACATCTCACACTCTGAGCCCACTCCCACATGTACCACCCACCCTGGGAGCATTGGAGAAGGGTACAGGGTGTGTGGCTCTATTCAAAAATCTGTTTTTAATTAGGGTTTTGTTCAGTCCTTTGTTTTTTAATCTTTTTTTCTAGAAAGCATGTTATATATGTTTTTTTTATTATTTCAGAAAATGACATGAATTAAAATGGTCTGTTTTATGTTGCCAAAATATGTACTTTTGTGATTCGAGAAATGCCATAAGCGAACTCTTGTACTCCGCGCCTGACCTCACGATTCTTTCTCTGAAGGACGTGCGTATCGGTGTTTGCCAACTTTGGAACCAAAATCAATAGCTAAAATCTATTTTTAGTATGTTTTTCAGAATACGGGGCACTGTTAACAGGGTATCTTTATTTTTGCTTGTGCAGCCAAAGCATTTTTGGTCCTCCTGAAATCCCTTTAACACTTTCTAGAGCAGGCTTCCACTTCAGCCTTCACATCATCCCATAATTCCTGCTTTGTTTCTTCATGCTAGATTTAGTGATAACGTTTAGTTTTTATTCTGCATGGACTGATAGAACGTCAGTTGAGATATGCTGTGGTTGTAGTTGTGCCATGATGAATGAACCCCAAGAAGCTGTGGTTTACAATGATTTTAAAATCGTAGTGATTTTAGAGTGATTTTAGAATTTCCACTCCTTGTCGTGCCTAACAATGCTTTTTAGCTGTTCTAAAATCACTGTAAACTACAGCTTCATGGGACTTATTGCTTTTTTTAAATGATCACTACATATCGCTGGCAAGGTTTCATAATGTAAGCACACATAAATGCAAACTTTTAATAATTTATTGGTAACAAACAATAATCCTTCCTCAGTCAGTCATACACATTTGGAGTTCCATTAGGGTGAATAAGTCTGATTTTGACCTTCCATCAGTTCAAGTGTGGTCTTTGCTTAGGACATCATCACAGCAAGTTTCATGTTGTTGTTGTAATTTGTGCTTTGTGACTGCCTGCCCTTCGTTTTGTAGAAACAATCTGCATCATGTTTCTCTGCTTGCTTATTTCTGTGTGAGTGCAAGAGTTGGTTACTAATTCCTTATTGAGCATCTCTTAACAAGCTTGTGAGTTTATTCTCCTTTGAGCGCCGTCAGGGGGTCCAGCAGGTTCAGACTGAAAGCTTTTTACATGCAGGCTCAATGTTGATGCTCTCGCTGGGTTTGCAAGGTAACAGGGCACTGAAGAGCGATGCCGTTTAATTAGAATCTCTTCTATTATCCACTCACAGGAGGCTTGGTTTGTGAGTGAGAGAGTAAATGTACGATGGTGAGCTTCAGGGAGGGTGAAAGATCTCAAGATGTACAAGGGCGCTATCATGAGCTGGGGTTTCCATGGTAATCTCCTGTTTCTGGTCCTTGGCACAGGTCGATGAGCACAGCGTTTCCTTCTCTTAGTCATATTTTGTCTTTTTTAAAATATATTATTAAAAGCTCTGCATGCATTAGCAGCCCTGCCTGCGGTGAAGACTGTGTCTTCAGATGCAAGTTTCTTTGGCAACCTATGAGAGTAGGGCTTTCGGATAACCTATAGGCTTGTCGACTTGTTTCACTGGCTACGGGTCATGACCGCTTTTTCTCTGACACACCAAAGGCTTTTCTTTACTTGGTTTTGCTGAGTTGAGGCGTTCAAGTAGCAAACTTTCATTTTTATTTAGAATGCCTGCTATGCATAGAAACGTTCCCTATGATCTTGCTTTCACAGCTCCCCCTTGTGGTTGCTGTTTGTCATCTTTTATATAAACAGCAGCTAGTTTGTCCTTTGTTTGCTGTTTATGGGGCAGTTGTGCAGACAAAGCAAATGTCTTGAGTGTATTGGACTCACCGCTCTACATTCCATCCTTTATTTTAGAGCACTCGACCAGACTGAAGAGCAGCCAACTCCAGTGTACTTCTGAACTACTTAGCCTGATTTTATACGTCTCGGCTGGGCTCATTAGCTGGCCTGGAATACTCAGCTCAGCAGCGGCCTTTCAGAATCGATGTGTCAGCGTGTGCCACACGTCTCAGACCTCTGGTGGGGATGCTTGGTGTTCAGGTCCTTTTCACCTTTGGGCTGTCATGGAGCTGTCTTGGCTTCTCTGGCTTTAATGATTTTGTTTTAGGTGGGTTATCTGTCTGCTACATTCTTATTAGCATCTTTTTGTCCTTATTTTCCTGTTACAAAGATATATGCAGTATGTTTAGAAATATGTATTCAGTAGAAGCGCCATCATCCCCATGTATCAGCCCAGGGGAGCAATGCAGCAACTTTTTTTTTTATCCATTTATCATCAAATGCCAAAAAAGAGAGCACACAACCTCCATGTTTATGCTGATTTCCCCACTGTGTTTTTTGTAATTTATTTATGCAGACCATAAGGAATTTATTCAGCATGGTGAAAATAAAAAGCAGAAACTGTGGGATTGTTTAACTTTTTTTTATTTTGTCTTTCATTTTTGTTTGCCTTTCATTCACATAAATAAAGTCCCTTTTCATTCCCGAGTTGTTGGTTATTTTTGTTTAGTTTCATTGTCTGGAAGATCATTGCCCTCGAGTTCATTTTGGATGACCTGACGTCCGGTTCTTTTGTTTTCTCTTCTCTGGCCTCTTGAAATTGCACTTCATGTCTGCCTCACGGCCCATAATGCAGGGTTTTTACAGTATGAACGCACGTTTTAAATACCTGGTCAAATTTGTGTAGTGACGTGTTGTGTTGTTTTTGTGTCTGTCAATGTGATTTCTGTTGAATCTATTGCACGAGTTTCACTGCAACAGGAACCACCTGATTTTTCTTTGTAGCACTTTTTGACAGTGGACTCAGAAACAGGAAAATCAACCAATGTTTCTTTGTATATCTTCTGTTTTAATATCAACTTCAACTGTTTTGAAGTTGTCCAGACCGTTAAACGTGTATGTGAAGCTGGTTATAATGTATGGAAAAAGATGTACAGCAGCGCCTTCCATTTTGTGGTCCTTTCCCCAACTTCACAGCAAGTCTTTGGCTGTTCGGTTCATCTAAATGATAAAATGGTTCTGTGAGAGTTCAAATTACTCTCTAGTAGACCGTTTCCCATCATGACATTAAGTTAGTTCCTGGACTATGTGGCCAGGCATTCAGTCTGATTCCATTAGTTACTAAGTAACCAAATCTGGTTTAGATTATTTAACCATTTGCTCTACTCATCTGAAGGTCAACCACATTGTGCAGTCACTATTTTTTCATTATGTACCGTTGGGGAAAGGAATCGGACATGTCTGGTTGTGCTTGTACATCAACTCTCTCAAGTCTGGTAGAAGGCTTGTATTGGTAGTCATCTGTGAAACTTTTAATCTGTAACTAAAGCTGAATCAAACACCCTCTTCATTGACTTTTCATCTGCAACTGCCTTTGGTTTCGCCGTGAGCTTCATGAACCACACAGCACTGGTTGAAGTCAACGATCTTATGATACCAGTCTCTCTTGAACTGTCGTATGTACGCCTGCAATGAAACGATCAACCCAGAACCAAGAGATGTGATAGATTTAACTCCCATTTTCTTTCGATCGCTTTATAATTTGTACCCGTTTTCTTGCATGTTTTTGTATCTGACATGCCTGGGAAGGTTTCACAGTTCCATGTAACGTTTGCGAAGTTCTATTAAATATGGTGCTGTTTTTTAGTAACCAGTTGTTGTCGTAGTGATGGACGGGTTCTGTGTTTATCTGTTATTTTTATGATTTGTCAGTGGTTGGTTGTGCTGATCTGGTATGTTATATTCCTTCTCGCAATTTTTGCTCGAGTCAGTTTTTGTAAGTTCTTTCTTTCTGTCTCAGTCCCTGTTTTGTTGTCTGTATTTGTGAAGAAAATTTATGGTTGCAAGCCTCTAACCTGAACCATGAGTGAATGCCTTGTGAATAAATGGATTTAACGCTCGCTCTCACCGGTTTCTTAATAAAGGACATTTTTAACAGATTTCATGTTGCCGACTTATTCTAAACATCTATTAATTTTCATCTATTCTACACAGTCAGAAATTGTAAGATTGTATTCTTGAATTGTAAAAGGTTTCCCTTCTGCAGTTTATTAATTGCATTGCCTTACTATTTTAGTCTGTGCCTATTTGTTGTTCCAAGATATAGTTTGCTCTCAGTTTGTGCTCTTACCTTGCCTGTGGATCTGTTTCTCTAACCCAGATCCCTAGCTGTTACAGAACACAACAGTGTAAAACAGCATCTTTACCATGCTCTAAGTGCTACCTTTCAACTTTTTTGATTCATATGTTTATTACATCAGATGCTGTTTTAAATAATAAAAATATGAAACCAGAATTGTGCATAGCTGTAGAAGTGAAATCATAAAACAGAACATTTTAGGTGTTTAATATTTTAAACATTACATAGTATTTATTAAAAATATTGACATTTGTAAAAAATTACAACAAGCAGTTAATATGTTCTTAATTTGTCAGCCATTATCGATGATGTTAATCAAGTAAAAAAAAAAAGTGACTTGATAAACCAGCTTTGGAGAAGACAGGTTTCAGTTTATTCTGTGGCATTTGTTAGTGGTTTTAGTGCGATGTTGAGGATTCAGCTCTAGCCCCTGCCCCCATCAGATCCCGGGAATGTCACACCCTCTCAGACAGACCCCAACAGCTGTAAGGAGAGAGAGAGAGCGCACATGGCATTGGCTATTTTTAGAGTTCATTCAGACTAGAACATCTCTCTCCTTCTCTTTCCCTGGACGTGTTCCTTCTGGATCTTTCCTCGGCTGAAAGTTCTGTAGAAGTTTCACAGCGGCTGTGCGAGTTCATAAGTACCTGAGACGAATGCAGAACAGAGTATATAAACAAAGAATAGAGACCAGTGATAAAGCGTAAGTCAACCTGAATAACAAACAGTACAACATGGCTCTACTGTGTTACAACAGAGGCTGCGGGGGTCGATTTGATGCTGACAAAAACTCAGATGGTAAGATTTCTAATTTTTTTTTTTTTTTTACAATTTATCAATTTATAGCCTATTGTAATTTAAAAAAAAAGTATATCTTGAACTGTAATACATTTTAATTGTCCATGTGAAGGTAATGGCTGATATTACAGTCCTGATGTTACCAATTTACCAACAACATTTAAGGTGTTGATACACGGGACAACTTTTTTGAGCAATGTTGTTTGGGCACTTTCCCATTGACAATGGGCAACAAATATCTATCTGGATACTTTAGATCAGTCGTGGGCCCTGTGTCTCAGCTGGTTGCCCATTGACGGCAACATTGCTCAAAAAGCCGCCCAGTGTATCATCACCTTTAGAGTTTGACAACTGAAAGAGAAGTGTTTTATCACTTTCTGCACTAGACCTGTGAAGCTGCTGTTTTGGAAATTGAATGATATAAATAGATAGTGGTGAGCCGACAGCTGATTGCAGTGTGAATGAGATCCGCTGGCCTCAGAGATACTGGGGGCCAGGACTTAAAGGGATAGTTCACCTTCAGTTGCTGGTCCCCATTGACTTCCATAGTATGGAGAGAGAGAAAAAAAAAACACTATGCAACTCAATGGGGACCAGCAACTGAAGGTGAACAATCCCTTTAACTTTGATGTCATGTTGCAACAAGACCGCCTCCAGCTATGTACCATTTATCCTTCCATGTTTTATTTATAACGTTTGGAAATTGTAGAAAAGGTGATTTAATGTTTGTCCTTAGAGGTTTATTGGATCCATGAAGTCTCGAGTACATTTGGAGGTGTTCTAATCAAATGTTACTTCCATAAATGGCTCATCTCCCAACTGACTCATCACTCAGCTGTATTGAGTCCTGATGAGTCCTGGTCATAAAAAAATAGTAATGAGGATGGACTTCTGTAGATAAATGTCTTCTACTAACCCTATTTTCTCTCTCACCACCTGAAGATGCCTGTCAGTTTCACCCCGGAGTGCCAATCTTCCACGATGCCTTAAAGGTGAGCTCAAAATGTGTCTCACTCCATACAGACCGCCGGCTGCTCAGTTCTGTCGTAACTTGATAAGAGCGCTGTCGTGTTTGCCTGCTTCTTAGGGAGCCTAGTATTCATGTTTTTGTTTTATTTTGTTCTTGGCTGTCTGATGTGGTTCTTTGTTTGGGGTTTTCTCCTCAGGGCTGGTCCTGCTGTAAAAAGAGGACGACAGATTTCTCAGAGTTCTTGTCAATCAAGGTATGCTAATAATATGATAATTGTGACGTTGTCATCTCACGCTGCTCAGACTGGATTTCATGATATAAATTGCGTCAACTAGCGAACTGAATCTTTTTGTAAAGTGTTTGAAAACATATCAGTATAATGCAGCGACTCCAAAGTCCTACAAAGTCCAAAGATAAGGATTTTTAATTTCAATTCATTAATATGTACGTAATAAAATCTTATAGTACTTGACATAACTAGAAATATATGAAGAGTTCAGATGCAAAAGCCTCTAAGTGCCATCTGAAATCTTCATCTAAAATTAGCATTTTTGTCAGGCTGCTATGTTTAGGTTCAGTAATTTTACTCTAATGGCAATGTATAGGTCCTTTTCTATGCAATTAAAGTGAAATAACTGAACATAAATATAGGAGCCTGATAAAAATGCTCATTTTAGAAGAAAATTTCAGATGGCATTTAGAAGCTTTTGCATCTGAACTCTTCATATATTCATTATAAATAAAAGTCAATGGCAGTTTAATATTTTATTCATTTGCATGACTTTTCCAGGTCTAGAAATCACATTTTTAAAATGAATTGAAATTAAAATGTAAATCATTTTGTCTTGAGGCAACCTTGGAAGTTTTCTGGGGCCCTCTAATGGGCCCCTGGCCTCCTGGTTGAGAACCACTGATAAATAAAAAATAAAATAATTAAATTCAATGGCGTGGTAGGCTTTCATGTATTTCATGTATATTCATTTATCAGATGACTTATCAAATACCAAATTATCATACAGCAGCCAATATTAGCAGTACTGAATATCAAGAACTACAAAAGCTAACAGATGTGTAAACTCAAAAATAAGTAATTATAGTAGTAATAATCGAACTTATCATGCCATCTTTGTGATGGAGAGACATTCACATTCACACAATCTCAAACATGTCATTTATCTGCTCTGTATCTGCTAATTATTTTCTCTCAGTCACGTGTCGATTGGCACATTCTGCTTTCTGTGCTTGTCCTCTCAGGGTTGCACCCGTGGGCGTCATAGTAACGAGAAGCCTCAGGAGCCTCTGCAGCCGGAGGTGACGTCTGATAAGGGAGACGGGAAGCAGCACAGTGGAAAGGAAATGATCTACCAGGGACCCAAATCTGCAGAAGCCCTGGAAAAAGAGAGACCCAGGTATATAGAGTACATACGCATATGGCCTGTTTCGCACACCAACTCATTGTTCTGAATACAAAATTAGTTTTCCTTCTCTGAAGCCTTCTCTTTGTCTCTTTCAAAAAGAGAAGTACAGCTCCTTGTGACTGTTAAATAAAAACAGACAGTGACATGTTTTTCGATTCCCTCCTTCCCAGCTCAGATGAGCCACAGAAAAAGCTGCAGGTGAAGATCTCTCCCTCTCTGGCTCAGATCATGGAGAAAATGGAGATCACTGAGAGGGAGAAGAGAGAGAAGCTAGGTAAAGCTCAGGATCACCTGCAACACAAGCATGTTGATTCTAGTGCGTTGGTTCTCTGCTGGGTTTGCTTCAGCACCCTGATTTAATATTGGACATTTATTGGCAACCCAACACAAAGGTAAACATGTCTGTAAAATAAATAAATGAAATGCATTAATAATAATGTATTCATACTATTATAAGAAGTTAATCTTAATATTGTAATGCTAATCTAATGTAAAAAAAAAAATAGATAGAAGAAATAGGATTAATCTTTGCAGCTAATAATTCACAAAATGCACTGCATTCAGCACAAATAATGTTTAATAATGTTGCAACCCAACACAAAAGTAACAAAAATACCCTTTAAAACCATGTGATGAAATGTATTAGTATTAACACTGAAACAATATTGATATAATAGTTTAATATTATTAATCATATAAATAATGCAAAAGGCTAAATAAATTGATAAATAAAAAGCATCAATCTTTGCATACCATAACATTAACAGTATAGTTTAATAATAATTATATATATTGCAAAAAAGAAAAAAAAAAAGAAAAAAAAAAGAAAAAAAAGATAAATAAATGGGAGTTAATCTTTGCAGCCAATAATTCACAAAATACATTGTTTTCAGCACAAATTATGTTTATTCATTTTGCAAGTGAGCCTGTATTTAATATAGTCTGCATCAGGGTTATTATCATAAAAATTACAAAAACTCTGTTGCAAAAATTACTAAAACTTTAACTAACATTAAAGTGAAAACAGAAAACATAAGCATAAATAAAATAACTAATAAAATATAATTTAAAAAAATGGTAACACTTTACAATAAGGTTCATTAGTTACTACTTTAGTTAACATGAACTGAGAATGAACAAGACTTCTGCAGCATTGATTAATCTTAGTTCATGTTAATTTCAACATTTACTAATGCATTATTAAAATCAAAAGTTGTGCTTGTTAATATTCGTTAATGCACTGTGAATTAACATGAACTAACAATGAACAACTGTATTTTCATTAAATAACATTAACGAAGATTAATAAATACTGTAATAAATGTATTGTTCATTGTTTGTAACTAACATTAACTAATGGAACCTTATTGTAAAGTGTTACCAAAAAAAGATCTATATCAATGGGACTAAAATAACACTGGTCTAAATCATGTTTATTTTTGTGTATTTTTGTTAATGGTTCTTGAGGAAGAGTGCATGTTGCACACATACACAGCCAGCACAAACAAAAAATATGTGAAGCATTTTTCTCCTATTTAAAAGGTAAAAGCCTTTTTTTTTTTTTTTGCTAGTGCAGTATTTATATAGCTCTTGGTTCTTCCAAAGCTTATTTCAGTCCGTGACAGTATTTTGTGAGGTCCACCTGTCCATAATCTGTCACTTACAGTAAGACCTCTGTAAAAACACAGTAACACCCTGCTGTGCTCACAGGCCTACTGTAGGATTTTGTAGGATATTTGTGTTGTGTGTCCTGTTTGTATGGTGACGCATGACTCATTTTTTTTATAAAATGTGACTAGCACATTTTGAGAAATCAGTCATCTCACTGTTGTTTTGCCTTTCTCCCGTCACCTCTTCCCTCTCGCTGTCCTGCAGAGAGTCAAGTCATCATGGCTGGGGTTAAGTGCAAGAACACAGGATGCAAAACAGTAGGTGCTCATGTAATATGTCAATTCCACCAAACAAATCAGCTTGCTTAACGAAATATACAGTTCATGCCATCTAGTGGCCATAATAAAGAATGACACTCCAGACAGACTCCACAAAGAATCAATCCTGGGCCTTTGAGTATTTTAGTGTAAAAGTACTGACCATCAGCCTCCTTTGGTCCTTACAACTAATGCCATGAGAAGAGGAACAGCTTTTTTACCAGTGTAATGTTGAATGGACGCAGAGCAGAAGATGAGTGAGAATTAATGACTAAAGCCGCAGGTTCAGATCCCTTACTGGGATTTGACCTTAGTGCCCTCTGTTAAAGCTTCCCTTCTAAGGGAAAGGATCATCTTTAATGGATTAATTTGCTGAAATCTCAAAGGTTCATCATGATGGTAATTACTCAGCGGAGCTGTTCTTTAGTCCATATGAGAACTAAACCTGTATCAGCAGAGATGTGTGTTGTTCACAATTGAATTAATGACTTTTTTTTTTAATGATGTGTTTCACTTTTTTGCTTTTTTTTCCCCCACTATGAATTAGCTATAAGCATGTTTTCATAATGGTTTGAAATGTCACAAGGAATTTAATTTAGGGTATTTAATTAATATATTTCATTAAATGTCATGTTATGCACTGTGGTCTTTGAAAAGGATTCAGACGATGTAAGCACAGACTTTGATCTGCAGTTTAGTAAATTCCTCTTCCTGTCAATCCATTCAAATTTAATTTCAGACTCCTGTGGAAACTGAAATGTAATCTTTTGTAGTGAAAGGAAAAGAATTCTTCAATTCTGAATTGTGCTCAGTCCTGCTCATCAAGTTAATGGCATAATGTTGGTTCTCTTTTGTCAGAGTTCATGGTGTTTTCTCTTTAGCCAGTGAGACAGACAGCACGTATAGCTCTGTTACAGCCTCCTGTTCATCTACCTATTTGGATGAGTAGAAAAATGAGTGTATTTTCAGGTGTGAAGGCAGTAAACGGATGACACAGAGCTTATGCTGAGTTCAGGTGCATCAGCACTTTAAAGTTTTGCTTTTGTGAATATGCTGAGTTTCTGTGAGTGTTTCTCTGGAGCAGAAATGTCTTTCTTTAGACTGTAGTCTCTGTGTTGACTATAAATAGCTGTTCAAACACTTTGATCATTTTTGCGTTCAGATTTACCAGAGTCCAGAGACGAATGCAGAGATCTGCACATATCATCCCGGGGTCCCCGTCTTCCATGAAGGGTAAGAAACCCGCAGCATTTGAGTCTTTATTTGGAAATATGACTCAACCTCTAACTATACAAGCAAGGCCTATTTTCATAAAGCTTCTCATTGAGATCCACATGTGCAGTCCAATTCAACAAAGAGATAATGATGTGTTCACACACAAGTGCTCTTACTATCAGCAATTACACATATTTGTTTTTGTGAGATGAGACGGGAGATGCATGATAATTCACATCTGGCTATCACTGTCTAGATACAAATACTGGAACTGCTGCTGCATAAAAACCACCGACTTCAACGCCTTCCTGGATCAGAAGGGCTGCACATCAGGAAAACACTGCTGGATCCCCAAACAGGTGAGAGCTAATGTACTTTTTTGTTCAGTGGATAGTTATTTGCATGGACATACAGTACGCTGTATAATCAAGAACAACTAACTAACCCTTTCTGAAATCTGTATGTCGTGTTTGTGTTGGGTCTGCAGGACAAAAAGAAGGTGGCTTGCAGGCATGATTGGCACCAGACGGGAAACCAGGTCGTGGTCACAATCTACGCCAAGAACTCCAGTCCAGAGCAATCCTACGTGGAGGCAAACCGCACAGTGGTCAGTTCAAAACAACATGCAAAAGTCACTTCACATCAGCATCCAATGACTTTTTATAAATGTATTTGTGTCTTTGTCCATAAATACTTTTTTTGTCTCCATCAATCTGCAGTTAACATGCCACATTCAGTTTGAGGGTGACAAAGTGTTTCATAAGGACATCCACTTATGGGGGGTAAGATTGCTGTACAGTCTGTTATGATTAAGCAATTATATATCCTCCTGAAACTTAGAAAGTAATGCTTTTAGTTTAGTTCATACGAAACATTCACAAAAATGGTTCGAACAACAATATATACTGTATATACATACATATATATATATATATACACCGTATTTATTTACTCATAAGTCAAATGCAGTCAAACATCTGTGTCAACTTCTGGTCTCTTAGGTGATTGACGTGAAGAGCAGTTTTGTGAACATGGTGCCCTCTAAAGTTGAGGTGACCATGGGGAAGGCTGATGCTGTAGCCTGGGGGAAACTTGAGGACCCCAAACACAAAGCTGAGCCAGAGGTCACCGATGAGATGAACACAGAACAAGAAGACGTCAAACCCGACTGGTACATCTCAGATGATGACATCAGTGAGTCTGACTTCGAAGACGAAGAGGAGAAGGAAGAGAGTGAGGAGAAAAAAGAAGAAAATCAGGCAGGTGATGGACCACCTGAGCTAGAAGAGCCTGCTGCTGTCCCCCCAGAAAAATGAACATTTATTCTGAGGAGTAACGGTTGTGTTTCTGAGGTTATGTATTTGTTTACAATATCACAAGGGATTTATAAAAATGTGGGCTTTTTTTTTGTCTGCTAAAATATGTTATTGTGTGCTTAAAAGTTAGAGAAGTCTTAAAGGGGTCATATGATGCGATTTCAATTTTTCCTTTCTCTTTGAAGTGTTACAAACTCTTGGTGCATAAAGAAGATCTGTAAAGTTGCAAAGACTAAAGTCTCAAATCCAAAGAGATATTCTTTATAAAAGTTAAGAGTCAACCACGCCTACCTAAAACGGCTCGTTCTAACACGCCCCCACATGTCTACCTCACTATGTGGGAAGATTTGCATAACGCTGCCCAAATGTTCACGCAAAGAAAGAAGGCGTAACTTTTATTCTCGCTGTTGTATTGTTGCGGCCGCCATGTCGTGAAGGCACTGTGTGCTTCGTTGTGAAAGCGTAACTACTTTGTTTGGCCTTCCAAAGAGGACAATATCTGCTTCGTCATGCCTAGAGCTGATCCGTGCTGGTCGCTGAGGAAATACAACAACTTTGCGCTGTGGATCGCCGGATCGGCTTTCACCGTCTTCACCGCTCCTTCGCCGGGACCGCCATTCTCGACCCCGCCGCCTCAGCTCACGCTTTAAAACTCATCTTTCAGTTTTGCACACCGTTTCATAGAAATTTTTAAAATATGTGTTTGAAAATATATCTCTTCAAAAGTTTGGGGTAGGTAAATCTTTTTTTATATTTTTGAAAGAGTGTTCTGTTCTGATTGTATTTTAAAATGTAGTTTATTCCTATGATTGGAAAGCTGAATTATCAGCAGCCATTACTCCAGACTTGTATCATGATCCTTGTGTAAAAACAAAAAAAATTTTTTTTTTTTTAACAATTCCAATTTAAAAGCCTTTACGGACACTTTTGCTGAATAAAAGTTAAATAAAATCATACTAACCCCAAACTTTTCACCGGTCGCTGAAAATAATGTAGGTTTTCAACACTGACAAAGCAATGAATGAACTCTGATTTGAAATGGACAGAAAGCAAACCGAGCTCTCTTATGTGAAACCATGATAATAAAGTGCAACAAGTCAAACAGTAATGGCCACACTTTATTTTTGCGTCAAGTCAACAGCAACAATCCTGAAGTAGGTGATTGCAGTCAGTCAGAGTCCAAGGCCATGGAAGCTTGACTGCAACCCATATGGCAAAAATGTTTTAAATAAAAAGGATAAATAATACATCTTAAAAGTAAACAGTAGTCTTGACAATGAAGAGAATTGGTACCAGCAAATAAAAATTCAATCTCTTCTGTTTTGGTTCTTTTTCTCTGTTCAAAGAAAAAATTCAAAAATAAATGTTCTATTCATAAAATCATTGCCTTCCGCTTGTACCTGATTACCACAGTCATAATCGATGTGCTGGTACGCGGAGATGGTCAAAGTAATGCTTGCTATGTCACTCAAAAATAAACAGCACACAGCAACAATTCATCACAGATGAGGAAGTTTAAAACAAAGACATGCAAAATAATAAAAAAATACAGTCCAAGTTTTAGAGGCACAATCAGCACCTAGACTGTCCATCAAACTTTCATATCAAGACCATATTTGTAATGTCTTTGTCTTTTTACAGAGCAATACTGTTAGACTTTGGCTCACAACTATCAAGAAAACAATTAAATTGTCCAGTATTGTGAATACTATTTCTTTTAATGGAAACGTGTTACACTGTACCATTGGAGTCTGTTGATAAATACTGTTTGTGATCCACACATTAGGCAAGTTCAAGTTTTGCTTTCCCTCAGGGTTCCCATGTCCAGACTGACCCCTGAAAAGGGGCAAGTTTAATAACATTCATAAGTTGGATTATATACTGTCTTATATGTAACATATCTCATCATAGGTTTTCCACGAATGGATACCAGTATTCCTATGACAAGAAACACACACCCTTTTAAGTTTGCATTTTTAAACATTTGTTTTCTATATTAAAGTGCAAGGCGAGATAAAATACGTTGAAATGTACGACATACAGCATCACTTTCTTTCACGACATTTCCCTGCAGAAAATAGTAAAGAAACAGCTCACTTTAAACCACTGCGCTCCATTTACTCACTTGGCACAAGAGTTACGGCACTGAAGCTTCTAGAACGACGGCTCAATTGACACACTAGTGATACACCATCACGACTTGGCTGACGATCCGAGAGTAAAAAGAAAAAATAGACCTTTTTTCCTGCATAAGGGCATGAAAGGCATGCAGAAACTAGATGGTCTTTTGATAGAGATACAGAGACTAGATGCAGGTTAACTATTCAGCCAGTTTGACGAATAATACAGGACCACCATACATTCATTCATCAGGATATTCCTTTTTTTTGCACTTGTTTAATTGTCTTCATTTTAATACAATTGTTTTGTTTGATTTAATTTGTTCCTTTCTTGTTGTTCAGGCGGCGACAGGACGGGGCCAAAGAAATGTTTTGTTTTTTTCTTTGGTGAGCGAATAAAGTTTTATAGTTTGAGTCTGACGGCTTGAATATTAATATAAAGAGAAAAAAAGTAGCAAGATCATAAAATAAGATTAAAAAACAGAACGGATTAGGTGATGCACAGGAGTTGCCTTGCTAAAAACAGAGAGATGATGGATGATCCACTTCCTGCTCTCTGATGATGAGCATTTCCTGTGACACCATCCGCAGGCAGAGTAGAAACGGACCAGAAGCACAGTAATGCAGTGCCGGGCCGCTCACAAACACTGGGGTGGGGCATGTGTCTCACAGCGCGTCTCACGTCCTCCCTCACTGGCCGTAAAACAGTGTCCCGTGGCAGAGTGTGTCCTCGTGACAGAGCTGCAACAAACCACTTCAGCTCTTCAGTTGCCCGCGGAATCAACATCACTCATCCCGCCTTTGATATCCCAAGATCCTGAGCAGTGCAAACAAATGTGTTCAGAATAGGGTTGTGAGTTTAAGTACAATTAATTGTGAGCATAAGAGACTTCATTAAAAACAATTAAAAATCATAATGTGTCCAAACTTTTGACAATTGTACAAGGAGATGATTAGAAATAATTAGTTTACAATCAGGCCAAGCAACTGGCACTTGCTTCGTATGACATGGCTGCGCCACATCCTGCACTACACTGCTGCTGCATATGACAGTCTTACTGTGAATAATCCAGCATGACGGTGAGATTATGAGGCTGGTTAATACTATGTTTCTGCAAGTGAATGTGTCTTTTACCTGATAGAGAGCCACTGGACCGCTGTTTATGTAACCGCTCTCTCTCCTTCTTCCCCTTGGGCATGATTTTCAGCTTCATACTGCTTTTACCAGGCACACGGGACGGGTCCTGGTATTAAACGAACAACAGGTAGACAGGAAGAAAGACGGGGTGATATGCAATGTAATAAACTGGAATCCAGTAATGCATGTGTGATGTATGTTGTTCTTATCACATGATCAGTTTTATGCCATGATGCAAACTAGCTAGAGATGAGTTGCAAAATTATATTAATTGATTCAGAACAAAAAAATGATACCATATATGATGATGCCATTTAAAAGTTTATACACTACCATTCAAAAATTTGGTTTAAAAATCTAAAGTGTTTTTTGAAAGAAATGAATACTTTTATTTAGCAAAGATGCGTTAAACCGATCAACAGGAACAGTAAAGACAAATTACAATATTACAAAATATTTCTATTTCTAATAAATGCTGTTCTTTTGAACTTATCATCAACTTCTAGAAAAAAAAATTATTTCCACAAACTAATTAGGCAGAACAACGGTTTTAAACATTTATAAAAATTAGTATTTATAATGTTTGTTGAGCAGCAAATCAGTATATTAGAATGATTTCTGAAGGATCATGTGACACTGAAGATTGGAGTAATGGCTGTTGAAAATTTTGCTTTGCCATCACAAGAATACACTACACGTTAAAATATATTAAAATAGAAAATAGTTATTATAAATTGTAATAATATTTCACAATATCACTATTGTACTGTATTTGTTGATTAAACTCAGCCTTAGTGATTTCTTTCAAAAACATAAAAAAAAACTTTTCAGTTGTAGTGTAACCATTGACTAGTAATACTCACCAGGAGTATTTTTTTTTAAAGTTCAAAATCACACCCTATTGAAAAAAACAATCTATTTGGAGAAAACGAATGTACTTTTTACTTTTGGAATCCAATTGTTGTGCTCTATAGATAAAGTAATGCTAGCTAAAATGCAAGTCCAAAGGGTCACACTCAAAGTTAAGCACTGGAGACATGAATGTTGGGTAGGACAAACCTCCTCAGAGCAGTGCATGCTGGGACAGATCCAGTGAATGTCCTCCAGCTTGTGTAACTCAGTGCTGAGACTGTCCACTGTGGAAAGAAGCTCCTCTTTTTGAGAAGGCTCCAACTGCTACACACACATACAAAAAATGCCTTTATCATATTTCAGACTGCATTACTTCTGTACAAGAACAGGCAAGAGAAAGATAAAGAGAGAGAGACAGTGATGCCGCTCACCAGCAGTTTTCCCTCGAGCAGCATCTTGGTCTCTTGCTGGAGGACTTTACTGCTGTTGACAATGTCTACAGCTGTACTGCGACTCAAACTCTGCAGAGAAAACACACACACACACACACGGTCACAGCTCAAGTTTAGTTTGACTTCCTGACAGACTCTTGCTGTTCAGTGATTAACACACAGTGTTGTTCAGTTCCTTCAGGTTTTCTTCAATTGGCTGGTCAATGGAGGTCCTGTGGAGAACAGCATGAGCAGCTCAATAAGAACATGCTGAAAGTCCCAGCAGGAAGAAAGGACCTGCTATTATTCCTACTGGAGACTGAAAGGTGCATTTGTTAACCTTTAAAGCAGAGCTGGACTGAGCTGATCCTCATCACATCCCTCGCTGCTATGAGCTATGAATATATACAGTGGGGTTCACACAGTTATTAAATTCAGTTTAAACTTGCAAAATAAGCTGAATGTTTCAGGTTTTTTAAAGAATATTTGTGACATTAACTACTTTATAATAGCTTCCTTGCTTCCACATCAGGATCTACACAAATTTGTGGAATTCATGTTGCTTACAATAAGTGATGCCGTCATTAAAGCAAAAGTGGGACGGACTCCTACAATCATATTCACCAGTGGTGTCTCACATTGGGGATGTATATAATATCATACCGTTCAAAAATTGGTAAGTCGGTAAGATTTTTTTATGTTTTTTAAAAGAAGTCACTTATACTGACCAAGGCCGCATTTATTTGACAAAAATACAGTAAAAGCAGTAATATTGTCAAATATGATTACAATTTACAATAGCTGTTTATCAATATTTTAATATATTTTAAGTATTCTAGTGATGGCAAAGCTGAATTGTCAACCTCCATTACTTCAGTCTTCAGCGACACATGATCCTTCAGAAATCATTCTAATAAGCTGTTCAAGAATCATTTCTTCTTCTTATTAATTTTGAAAACAGTTACTGCATAACATTTTTGTGGAAACTGTGATACATTTTTTTTCAGGATTTTTTGATAGAAAATTCAGAAGAACAACTTTTATTTGAAATATATATATTTTTTGTAGCAATGTCTTTATATTGTCTTTCAAAAGTCTTTGCTGCCGCTTTTGATCAACTTATGCATCCTTGCTGAATAAAAGTATTAATTTCTTTAAAAATCCTAGTGACTCCAAACCTTTTAACAGTAGTGTGTATATATTTATATATATTATATTCATACATTTTTATTGCCGTACAAACAGAATAAAGCAGCTGGAATGTCAAAAATCCGTTAACTGTGTTAATTTGATTGTTAAACATTCTCTAAACTTAACAGTCCAACAACAAAAGTGTTCTGGTCACCTCAGGGCTGGAGGGTTTGGAGGGGAAGGCTTCACTCAGGACCGCAGCACTGGCATTGACAGAATGAGCTAATTCCTGCTCCACCACCTTATGAGTGTTAGCCACCTCCCGGATCCTACAAAACATCATCACAACGCATTCAGCTGCAGCATATTACATGTTTATCCTCCACATAAGCCTTTAATAAATGATTTTAAATGTAATTATGACAGTAAAATTACTTGTGAATTAATACAAGGAAGTGTCACATTTCTGAGGATTAGAAGTTACAGTAATGGGTGTGGTTTCAGGTAAAACAGACACAGTTCATTTCTTCAATAGTCCTCAAATAGTTATGAAATAGCTTCCCACAAATGTATGCATTGATATTCACTGAGGTGTGACATTCCTGTTGGGTTACAAACTACATTTGTGTGGATGTCATAGACTCTTCATACAGGCACACACAGACACACCTGTTGATGAGTGTGTCGGCCACTAAACCAAGCTGCTGGACCTGCGCACATTCCTCTTCACTCAGATACTCCATGGACTGCTGGGAATTCAGTCGGGGCCGGGCTGGGCGGCTGTCACCTTTCCGCTTGTCTTCCCATGATTTCAGCGTGCTCTCGAACGCCTAGTGTCACATCAACACACAATGATGACAGAATGCACATCTACACTAAAGTTTGAGGTCAGAAATGTTTAGGGGGCTGGGAACAAGGGGATATAATGCTTCAGACATTGATAATAATAATATGAAATGTTCGTTGAGCACTAAATCAGCACATTAGAATGATTTCTGAAGGATCATGTGACACAGAAGAGTGAAAATTCAGCTTTGAAAAATTTAGCTTTGCCATCACAGGAATAATATATTAAATTAGAAAACTAAAATAGAAACAATTTAAAATAGTTGTTTTAATTTGTAATAATATTTCACAATATTATCGTTTTTGCTCTATTTTTATCAAATAAATGCAGCCTTGGGAAGCATAAGAGATATCTTTTGAATGATAGATTTTGGGGTTGGTGATGCCAGTGTGATATATCCCAATCTTCAAGCAGACGGAGCTGACTGATGCGGCTTGGAATCATAAATTACACTGTGTTCATTCATTTGGTCAGAGGAAAGGGTTTTTCCTCCATTTCTGTCACCTGATGGAGCTTGGGTTCCCTGCCACTGTCACCTTTGGCTTAAAAAAACACTCAAAAAAATATTCAGTAATACTGCATTATTGAATTGATTGCACTAACACTTTTGGATACAAACAAAACTTAAACTGATTTCAGCTGGAAGATGACACTACTGTCTTCTGTAGAGCTGCTGTATTTCTTAATCATCTTTGTTTAATAATTGATGAATTTTACAACATCAACACTGTTATTGAACTGAATTGTATCAACATTGAACTGACTCGAGCTGAATAGCGTCACTATTGCCTTTGTAGAGCTGCACAAAGAACTAATTTCCTAACTGATGATTTTTACAGTTATTGAACTGAACTGACATCATTGTAGTGTTTTACAGAATAATTTGAATTTGTCTCATATTTATTTTTTCCCCCTGTCTATTACTGTTAAGCTGCTTTGAAAATTGAAAATCTGTATCGTATATAACTGTACATAAATAAAGGTGACTTTACTTGACTCTGCAGTTCGTCTGCAAAACTAAGCTGATAGAGCTTGTTTGTCTGGTGTAACTGGTTGACAAAGGAGGTCTAGGTTAGTCCAGTGGGGACAGCAGCTTATCAGAATCCCATACGAGTGAAAATGATCAGGCGATGCTGGTGTTGAGACAGTTTAAAGAAGATGAGCGTGCGCACACACTGACCCGGTCTCTGGTGAGCATCGGTGCTCGGTTCTTGTGGACAATTTGGACGATGCCAGGAGGCTGAATCCAGGCCTCACCGTCCACCTGCACTGGCACACCTTCATCACCCAGGATAGTGATCTTCACCTGCCGACACTGAGGAGATCAAAGCACATGTCAACTCATATGACTGATAGAAGAATAGTTTTAAATAATGTTTAATTCACCCAAATGATGCATATTATTACATTATTTATCATAAATTACCCATAAACATGTTCTCATACAAAACATTAGATGATATTAATAATAATAATACATTTAAAAAACTGTATTTAATTTAAGTACTGTATATTTCATCATATTTGATAAATTTAGTTTCATTTTACCATGGTGGAAGAACACTTCTCCCCAAAAGCTCTCATTTACCCTAATCTCTTAAATGAGTAAATTAAATACAATTAAACCAACTGCTGCTATCATGACTTGCATTTCTTTGATCTGCAATTGCAAGTCTTGTCATTCCGATCGAATTCCAATTAGGGTGTGGTTGAATTCAATTCAAATTCTAACACGTGACTTGAAAGCAAGACGGTTTTTAAATTCTGAATTGTGTGCTTGGGTTCAGACCTGTGCGATGCGGTGATGCTGTAGGTTGATGACTCGAGACATGGCCATCTGCATGCTGCCGAACACAGCCACCACCTCCAACTTCTTATCATCAAAAGATGGAGCCCCAAAATTCTACACAAAAAAAATACAACAGAAGACAAAATTTCATAATTTCCACCGCTGAACCACATTCTCAACATCTGATACTTTATTTACACAACTCTATAAAAAAAGTATTTCCTATCAACCTAAATCTGCATGTTGTAAGGTAAGCAACTTTGATAAAATCATACAAAACACAAGAAGGACCAGATGTCTTATGTACACTCTGACTCTTGCCGGGAAATGACATCATGATATTCCAAATACACTTTACAGGAAAGAATCTGTTACAGTGATATGAGATAGATAGATCCGATAACGCAAAGTCCCTCCAGTTAGGTTATCCTCTGTAATATACTTTTTTGGCATCTATTACACTGTATATTTAAGAAATATTGCATGAGCAAGAGCACAAAATATATGTGACCCTGGACCACAAAACCAGTCTTAAGTCGCTGGGGTATATTTGTAGGAATAGCCAAAAATACATTGTATGGGTCAAAATTATTGATTTTTCTTTTATGCCAAAAATCATTAGGATATTAAGTAAAGATCATGTTCCATGAAGATATTTTGTAAATTTCCTAAGATAAAATGTTAATTTTTTATTAGTAATATGCATGGCTAAGAACTAAATTTGGACAACTTTAAAGGCGATTTTCTCAATATTTTGATTTTTTTGCACCCTCAGATTCCAGATTTTCAATAGTTGTATCTCGGCCAAATATTGTCCTATCCTAACAAACCATACATCAATGGAAAGCTTATTTATTCAGCTTTCATATGATGCATAAATCTCAATTTTGAAAAATTGACCCTTATGACTGATTTTGTGGTCCAGGGTCACATCTATTTACTAGTCTTCAGTGTACTGTATATTAGCATACTTCTTGCATCAGTACTGCATCTTTTTCTGTTTTCCATCATTTATTCTCCACACCTGTTTCAAAATGCTTCTTGTTTATACTCTACAATGCATTTTATCACACTGACAAATTGTTCTTGAGAAATGATGATGAAAGGGAATTGATGGATTGATGAGTGGCTGTAAATGTGGTTGATGCATTCTGAAAGTCATATCTGCAGGAAGAAACTCTGGCCAGGAGCCACTGTTTATAGACAGTTCAGAACATTAAAGAGATGCACTGAAGATAAATGCACGGCACAGATTCATCTGTTCATCTATTGAGATGATTTTCACTTTGTTGAACTGAACGGCCCTATGAAAAGTAAAGTTATAAGCTCTGAACTGAAATTCGGTTTCATTGATGGACTCACATTGTCCTCTTTGGTGCCACCCCAGAAATTAATGCCTCCTGCATAGCTGGGGATGTTCAAAACAGCAAGACCCTGAAGACTCGGCAAGGACATGGGCACTCCATCACACTGCACACAAAGAGAGAAAGAGAGTGGTTACATGATGTACAGATTCTCAGAACAACGTTTGAAACCATGACAACAAACACACACAGTGGCAGAGCATCATTCATACTGTGTGAAGTGAAGTAAATGGCAAAAAAAGTGCTTTCTCTTTCCAATAAATGTCTGAAAGGGAGAAATGCATTCAGCCCACATGTCGGCATTTTTCATTCTCTTTCTCTCTGTCTGTCTGACATGTGCTCATACCTCCAGTTGGACTCTTTGTTCCAGGTTCTTGTAGGTTTTTTGCACCAGTTCTTTGGTCCCTAACACTCCGTACCACATCATGTTTTTAGTGCGACTACTGTTAAATACATAGAAGATTTCACAGTTTCAGTCAACATTATATAAACAGCATTAAAAAAAACAAAAAAAACAGGGTTACTGAAAATCAAATGTCTTGAATAATTAAAAACAAACATTTAAAGCACATCTGTAACTAGTAATGCCACTTCTCTGCAAGACACATTCATATAGATTAGGTGAACTCTATTCAGAAATTATCAAGGATTTTTCTCTCTTACCTGCACTTTTTTGGGTGCTCGTCTCTCTTGTTGTTGAACTCTAGAGATATTTTGGCATCCAGCCCAATGCCAAAATAGTTATTCATCACACACTTTTCTGTGCACTGCCTGTGGAACAAGCAGGTTGAGTGTGTGTAAGTTGAGTCACTTACAATATGAATCAGAAACATTTATGGAGTGCTAAATGAGCAGCAAAGGTGGATGTATTCATCATACTCACATCGTTCACAATAAACACAGTGAAAATCTATATTTATTTATAGATGAAATTGCTACAATATTCACCTTTGTGACATTGTAGCAATTTTGTAGCAACCTTTGTGACATTGTAGCAAGTTTCTAATATTCTATTAAGCATTATAATATTCACACTACAAAAAAGTTTGGGGTCAGTAGGATTTTTTTTATAAAAAATTTAAAATATAGCAAGGGCACATTTAATTGATAAAAACTGACAGTTTACATAGTTTCAAATGTGGTCAAAAACTTAATGTGCTGCATTTTTTGAAAGTTCAAAGCACAAACTCTGTCTAAGCATGCAGTTCACTAGGTTTTGAAGCAAAGCCATAGAGTTTGCAGTAACCAAAGATAATCTCTGAGAGTCAGTGAAACGAGTCGAATGAAGAACGTCTCGGTTACGTATGGTAACCCTAGTTCCCTGAAGGAGGACGAAAACAGATTTATGTCTGAGACTGTGTTGGACTAGTGTGTCAGTGAGTGCAATAGCAAACACACTGTGGGATATTACATTGTCAACAGGGTTTTAGAGTTGCTGGAACCTCAGATGTCATTACTGCACTTCTCTGGAAAAAGATAAGAGCTCTTAAATGCGCGCATGTGTGTGTTTGCACAGTCTTACACAGTCTCTTCAGAGAAAAGCACAGTGCTGAAGCTCTCTGACTTCTCCAGCAAAATAGGGGCTGTAGTAGTTGGACTCAATGTGTTTTGACCTGTCAATGAAATAAAGAGATAGATAGAGATGCAGCCATAAGAGAAAAATAAAATTATCACAATAATAATAAATAATAATGGGTATCAAACCACTCTGAAAAAAAAGAGCTTTTGAATTTACTTTTTTTTTTTGGGTAAGTGGTTGAATGAACTAAAATCATCTACTTTTAGATATTTGAAGTTTTAGAACTTCAGGCTATAATTTTTTTTTTTTGTAGTTTCAATTATTTTGTGTACGATGTACTCCTTGAAAATGACTCAACGTTCATTATAATTATGACTAGTGCACTTAAATTTAGTAAGACTGAAAATGTTTGTCTTAATTCAAATTTGTCCTATACAGCATAAAACACTAGTTATTAATTTGAGTAAACTGATTTCTTTAAATCATCGAGTTAAAATATTTATGAGTACGGTACGTGAACATTTAATTTGATTCTACTAAAAAAGAGAAACTACATTTCTTAAAACTGAATGAAACTCTGAAATCTATAAAATCTACTTTGTTAACCTGAAACATAACTGAATTGAGTAAAACCAATTGGAGAAATAATCTCAAACAAGTCTCTTGTAGCCTACAGCTTTCTAAATATAACAATGAGTCTAGGAAAGTAAAGCATCTATCACTACAATGGCATGAGCAGTTATTGCTTTTTTAAATAAAGCAACATACTGCACAAATATAGACTTAATGTTTTTTGCCCCATCCTCACCCGAATCACAAGCCCTACTCCTCAGTGCAGTCGTAACCCCCAAAACTCCAACATAACAGAACATTAAACACTAACAGATTTCATTGTGGAAAAACACATAAAACAGACATTTACTCCCATATATTCTACATATTTGAGTTTAGTATGCTTAATTAGTATGCTATTCGATTTCCAATTGACAGAAAAAATACTTGTCAAGTAAGTAAAGTTATTTTCTTTGAAAATTTACTTGATTGTTTTAGTTGAGTAACACGGACAAGAGAGAATATTAGTAAAACTAACAACAGTGAAAGTGAATTTTCTTTTTTCAAAGGACTCAGAAACACTCAAATTATTTTCATGTGGCAGTGATTTATGTAAGGAAATATTATTATAATGTCAATTGAAATATAACATGAATTAAAAATAAAACACAACAAGTTCTTTATGGATGTTTTTTTAAGTGCTTTTTTAGTGCCCTTTGTGTGAGCTAATGCAGTGTTATGCACGTTGATACAGTTGATGTTAATTAACGGTTGCTCCTTCAACTGATCCTCAGCCTTTTTCTTTTTCCCGTCTCCCTGCTCACACAGACAGTTCTGAGGGACGACCTTTTCTAGACAGTGTCTGGGTTGCATGATATAGTTTCCATTTCAGCATAACTGAAGCAATGGTGCCCACCAGGACATTCCGCATACACACTGTTATTTTTTGTATCCCCCTAATTTATACATTTAATTTGATGCTGTATTGGACTGTAATGTATTGGAAATGCTCTTTAGTATTAATTTCTACAGCTGACCTTCATATTCACAAAATGAGCAAAGATCCTTTAACTGGGGGGTTTTATTCATGGACTGTGATTGGTGATTTAATAAACCACAGGTTAAGGAATTATTTTGTTAGGAACAGCTGCAATATATTAAAATGCCAATGACTTGAATAAAATTTCAGAGCCACAGCTGAGGAAAAACTTTTCAGCGAAAAGATGAATTGAGAAACACTAAGGATTTAAATTGCTATGCATCATCTACGGTATTAATATTCATAAACTGAGTTTGTTACTCACGTGGCTCCGCCTCCTTGAGGTCCTCACTGCTGCCTCTTTTGATTGATGAGGAGGATGACATTCTCTGCACCTGGGTGTGTCTGTTCTGCTCATCCACCACTGAGAGAAAACAGTCAACAACAATCGAATTAAATATTGACTGAAGTGGTCAAGGAGCCGCTGTTACATGCTGTGTCATTCCTGCACCGTACATCTGCAAACAATAGATTTTAGTTTTACCTTATTTAAATACAATCAAGATAAAGCAGAAACTAAAATCTAAAATGTTTTTCATTTTAGCCTTTTCATGTTTTTCTGTTTTGCAAGTTTTGAACGTGTTGTCATTTCACAATTGTTTGAATGAAGTACAGCAGTTTTGTCGTACAGTACTCTGCAATACTTAAATAATGTTCTTCTTGATGTTTATTCTATGTAATCTAACACTGGAACAAAATCCAGTTACTTTCCACTCATATACACAGTGAAGAATGACCTTTTTCTGCCTGATCTATGATTTGTCGGAGTGCTTTCTTCAGGCTGTTGGCCCTCAGCATCAGCTGCTCTCTTGATCTGAAGGGTCTGGACTGATCAGAGTCGCTCTCGTCTGGTGAGATTGACCCAGATGGCACCAGCTGGGCATTGGCGTCTTCACTGAGAGCCTTAACCAGGGAGTCTAGCTTCTCGTTCAACATGGCACACTGAGAGAGACACGCCAAGCACAAAATGAAACAGTTTTTTTTGGTTTATAAAGAACAGGACTCTTCGTCTGAATCTTCAATTAACTATTTATTTGATAGTCTATTTAGCTTTTCATTTAATTCATCTTTTGACTGTTAATTTACTAATTTTTTGTATGTTCATTTGGCTCTGTTTGACTGTTCATTTAACTGTTCATGTTTATTTAACAATTTACATGTTTTTTAGGCTCATCATTTAACTACTAAAATAGCCTCCAGATTTACCTTTTTTGCCATAGCATCAGCCTCCTCTTTATTCTCTGTGGCCCGTTCATAAGCTTTGCCGACCTCACCCACAAAATCATTAACTGTTCCACACAGAAACCTTTGATAGAAAGAGATAGGAAGACAAAACTCAGAGGTTTCAAAAGGATTTTTAACTACTATAAACATAACCCTCACAACACATCCACACACACAAACCATCTTTATACTCACTTAGCAGATGATATAACGTCACTGTGTTTGTCAGAGTCCAGGATTTTGGTCAAGTGAGTGGCAACAGAATCAGCATACTGTGTAATCTGGATTTCAAAAACATCACAATTAGAGATAATATAACACAACTAAACAAAATTTACACTTGTATTCAAAAGTTTGGGGTTTGTAATATTTTTAAATGTTTCTGAAAGTCTCTTGCACCCACCAAGGCTGCATTTATTTAAATACAGTAAAAACGGCAATATTGCGAAATATTATTACAAGGTCACCTGTAGGGGAGAGTCTGATGGGTCCTCCTCCTTAACGATAGCTGGAGTCTGTTTGGTGGGCACTTCATAGGTCATCACACTCCATCTGTGACACGCACACATTCAGGAACAGAGTTTGATGAGATTGATTGATTGATTGATTGATTGATTGATTCATTCATTCTCCCTCTTTCTCTCACCTGTCTAGCATCTTGGTTGTAGCTCTCTCTAGTTTCTCCAGTATCTGCAGCAGCTGAGCATCATCATCACACAATCCTCCCCAGCCCAGCACACGCGCCAGGTCATTTCCTGTACCCAGCGGCAACACACCCAGCTGGCACTGTTACACACACAACACAACGTAATGAAGATGTGACCCTATGTATTGTGCAGTACGCTACCGTTCAAACATTTTGGGGTCTGTAAGATTTTGAAAGAAGTCTCTTATGGTCACCAAGGCTGCATTTATTTGATCAAATACAGTAAAAACAGTAGTATTGTGAAAATTATTCATATTTAAAATAACTGTTTTCTATTTTAATAATATATTTTAAAATTTAATTTTTTCCTGTGAAGGCAAAACTGAATTTTTAGCAGCCATTACTCAACACAAATCTTCAGAAATTATTCTAATATGCTGATTTGGTGCTAAAGAAACATTTCTTATTATTAGCAACGTTGAAAACAGTTATGCTGCTTATTTTGTAGAAATTATGATCTTTTTTTGTAGGATTCTTTGATAAATAGAAAGCATTTACTGTATATGAAACAGAAATCTTTTGTAACATTATAAATATCTTTACTGCCACTTTCGATCAATTTAATGCATTTCTTTCAGGAAAAAAAGAAAGAAGAAGAAAAAAAAAAAAAAGACTGACCCCACATTTTTGAATGGTAGCATAGATGGTCTATTTTTACATTCATCAGTGCACGTTATTCTAAAACAATGATTGTTTTCATAATCTTTTATTAAAATGTAAGAACAATTTTTTTTTCAGGTTATTCTGACCTGTTTGTGCAGGCTGAGTTTGTCCAGTTCAGAAAGAACCCAGCCCACGCTCCCATCTCCACCACACACCAGGATACGAAAGGTCTCAAACTTCTGGAAGAGACGAAGCCTGAATGCACAAACAAAAACATAAAACAACAAATATGGTTCAGAGGGCAAATTCACTTTGCCAACAACATTATATTTTAAAACATACAATTTACATGGATTCTATTAAAAGCTGAAAAGTCTGAAAGCACATCATGACTGAGAATGTTACAGTTATCAAATGAAAATGTTTGGTTGTTGTAAAAGCTAAGCTCCTGAGACTGATTGCCGGCTCTTTTATTGCCTTACAAAGCCTTTTAATTTGATATTGCAGTGTGTGATAAGCGGGCGTTGACCTCACCCCAGCTGTGGGCCACCATTCATGAGGTCAAAGACCTGTGCCGGGTTTAGTAGCTGCTTAAACCTGCGCAGGAACTTCACACCCTGGTTGTCACCACTCTTACTGTTCACCATCACCAGCAGAGGACTCGAGCAGGATGGACTGGTGGCCTTCCAGAAGCCTGCGGAGAGCAAGGGATGATGAAGAGGGACAATGGGATTGGAGAAGGAGGAGAGAGAGTGGCAGTGAGAGAAGGAGAGGAGAGGAGAACAACTTGGGAGGGTGTCATGTTTGGAAATGTAAGCAGCTTTAAACACCTTTTTTAAAGAATGTCTCTATTGTGATTGTAGCAGAAGATAATGACAATACTAACTTAAAAAATACATTTTTATATGCATCATGGCAGTACAATGACTGTCACAGTACCTTTAGTAAGTTTTGATAAATGTAGAATTTTAAAATGTTGAATGTTGAAAATTTTTTAAATGACAATTTAAAAGAACTTTTCTATTTTAATATATCCTAAAATGAAGACATTACTCCAGTCTTCAGTGTCACATAATCCTTAAGAAATCATTCTAATATGCTGATTTGGTGCTCAAGAAACATTTCTTATAATCAATGTTGAAAACAGTGCTGATAAATATTTTTTAGAAAACGTGATGCATTATTGTCAGGGTTCGTTCATATATAGAGTTCAAAAGAACAGCATCTATTTGAATTTTTTTTAGTAACAATTAAAGCCTTTATTGTCACTTTTGATCAATTTAATGCATCCATGCTAAATAAAAGTATACATTTCTTATAAAATACTTACCTCAAACTTTTGAATGATAGTTAAATATTACATATTGTATATTAAATAATTAATAACTGTAAAAACATTATTTCAGAAAATCTATTTTTCTTCAGATATTTAATGCCATATTTAACTGTCATAGTAATGATTATACTTCAACTAAATAATGTAATTTGCAAGTCCATACACAAACGCATGACAACGTATACAGGCTTTATGGAGACAGCTGAGCTGATGCAGTTGCCAGGGCAACTCTTACCGTCAGAGTCGATGCTGTTAAGTGCAGTGGGCGGAATGATGGAGACCTTACACTGACCCAGAGGACAAACCTTTCCCAACTGCTCCTTACAGCTGTTATGCACCTACACACAGGCAATGTATAGAGAGAATTACTGATTACTCACAGACGGTCTCATACCCATCAGTGGAGACACACTGATTACACAAGGTACACACCTGTATATAATAATAATTTATGCATTTAGCAGACGCTTTTATCCATATTTTTAAAATATTTTTTACCAGTATGTGTGTTCCCTGGGAATTGAACCCACGACCTTTTGCGCTGCTAACGCAATGCTCTACCACTGAGCCACAGGAACACTATGTATATATATGATGTCAGTAAACTCTAGGTGTTTATGTGGTATCTAGTTGTTATGGTTTCAGAGTGAACTGGGTGTGATGCTATATTGCGGGTGTAGGTGATAAACACAGCACTGTGATCGGTTTTAAAAAGTGGGCAGGAAGGTGACGTACGATGGCTTTGCACCAGAGGCACCGCCAGTCCTGTAGTCGACGGACGCTGCCGCAGTTTCGATCGCACACCACACACTTAGCACTGACCGGCAGGTTCCCCTCCAACCACTGGTGAGGCATTGACACCTGTACACAAACACACTGATTTAGGTACAGTACAGAATACCACTGAGACCACATGCATGTATAATATAAAGTTTCACTTACTCCATCCTCATCTTCTATGATGTCATTTCCTATAGACGCCAGAGTGGTCCACTTACAGTTATTTGTGGATCGTACGGCACAGCGCTTGTGGGCTTTGAACTTACACACTAACACAAGCAGAGAAAAGATGACATTAAACAGATTGTCACTAGAAAGTGATAACAGGCTGAGGGCAATGTTCCTATTCATGACTCATTGATTCCCCTATAAACAAACAACGTCTTCGTTCGTTCTACGAGCAGAATAAACAATGCACGAAAGGGTAAATGTCAAAGAAAGGGGAAATCCAAACAAATTGATCATAAAAAATGACAGACAGAGAAAAACCAAAGAGACAAAAACAATGGGACAACAAAATAAACAAACAAAAAAAAGCTTTGTGTTTATGTTTACCTTCACAGGAAAGACCATGAGAGGTGACCCCCGGCAGAGCCTCTCGACACACGTTGCAGAAAGTGGGCCGGGCATGAGAGCAGGCGTACCAGTTATGCATCCCAGAGAAGTGCTCCATGTTAAACTGACTGGCCTGAGATCAGTACAATCATGTCAACATCACAGCACTATAAATAAATAACCAAATAATAAAATCTAGGGTAGAGAATCTCAAACAGGGGGCTGGGGCTTATTTTGGTGTCTGAGTGAACTTCCAAGGGGGGCTGAAGGCAGTGTTCTTTTAGTATAATCGAGATACTATTATTTCATTAATTTTTATTAATATTATTTTATAAATTTTATTAGCTTTTATTATTATTTGGAATTGGTTTAAATTTGTATACTTTCTGTTTTCATTTTAATTTAACTTAATTTGGTTAATTTAGTTGTTTTTGACATTATGTTTTTTTAATGTCTATATAGTTTTTTTTTTGTCATTTTTATTTATTTTTTATTTTTTATTTTTTTGTAGTTTTAGTTTCAGTTACCTATAATAATCCTGCCTCAAGATGATTTAAAATAATTACATTATTACATAATAATCTTCATTCATTGTAAATATGTGATGTAGATCTGGAAAAGGCATGTAAATTAATAAAATCTTGAAACACATTGGGCTTTTTTTTTGTTTTTTTTGCCAAGCTCTAAAACATTTTATCAGGTAGAATGTGTGTGTGGTGGACCTTGGAGCCAAAAAGGTTGACAACCACTGATCTAGGGTCAACAACACACGTTACTATTACAGACAAAAACTGGCTTGGGATCATTTAGGAGTTATTTAAGTTATTAAACTGTGGTTTAAGAAAGGCACTAAAGGTTTAAAAATCACATTGATTGACACGCTAACTCCTTTACATCAATATTTCACCTAAACACAATTACAATTATAGCAATTACTTCTGTGGCTTTCATTTATTGATCACTTAACTAAGAAATCCATGTGAAGGAACATCAAACTGTATAATGTTACAGCCATTATGGCCATCAATGCACATTAACTGAGCCTCTGAATGATTTTGGAGGGGTCAAAAGTGAAGGTTTAGACACTGACCTCATAAGTCTCCCATTTCTGTACAGACTTCAATGCACTAATCCAGTCTTCCATCTCCTTCCTGCTCTCCGCACACAACATCAGCTTACGGAATGGAGTGATAACCTAGGAGAGAGAGCCAGAGACATAAAATAGGTGTGAGCTAGTAAACGCTTGTGAATAATGAATGAATGAACTAATGAACGACGACACACAAAGAAACAACCCAATAAATGGGGTTATCTCAAAATCTAGTGAGATTCCTACCTACTATAGACAGCATAATTCAAAAACAGTTCACTAGGTTTTGAGAAAGCTATTGAGAAGAGATTTTGCTTACTGTGAAACTGTTATTGATGTTCTTGGTGCTGGTCTCAGCCACGCTGGCATCTGAGAGGTCGACCTCATCAAATATGAGAGACTGCAACAAGACAGTAGCATGTTTCTGTCACCAACAAACACTGAAACAAGCACCTACTGTATGCAGCACCACCAGAGGTTCAGTCTTTCCCAGCGGGACACAGAGACCCCTGATTTTACCTTTGAATCTTTGGCATAGTAGAGTGTCCTGCCTCGCAGTTTGAAATACCTCCTCTTCCATCTCTGAAAAGAGCTGGTCTGTTTGAGTAGAAGACCCTCCTTCACACTCTTCTATAAAACAAATGCGGAGAAAGAGAAAAGAGATGAAAAACTAGCATACAAGACAGCTAATGCAAATACAACGGCTTGATTTGTTTTTATAATAGTGTTCATGTGTCAGTGTGTGCAAACTACTACTATCCCTACTGCCACATTTTTCATAATGAAACATTTTTATGCCATGCTAGAACTGGCTATTTTAGAAACTGCTTCACAGCCCGGTGAATTTTTACTGGTGTTCATAAATTGCTTCTTTTGCACATGCATGAAATTCAGTCATCTGTTTGTTATACTGAAGCATAATAAGAAATGAACAAACTCCCGAGGCTCCAACTTGCGTTAACAATCCTGTATTTCAATCACAGTGGCTTATCACCAGGCCCAGATGGAATTGGGGGACTTTTTCCACATTATTTTTGCTGGTTCTAAACATGATAAAAATGTTGACCAGATTTTTAACACATTATACTCTTTGTGTGGTAGCTGTATTTGGTAGGTATTTGAATGCTGTGAAAATTTGCAGAAATTTCGGTTGCACTTTATTTTACAGTATGTGAACTTACATGTACTTACAGTGTACTTATAGTGTACCTACCTAAGAAAGTACTGGTAATATAAGGTAACTACATGGTGTAGGGTTAGGTTTAGGGGTAGGTTCAGAGTTAGTATCTAGTTATTACCTAGTAATTGTAATTACTATAATAAGTACATAGCATGTACATGAGAAACAGGACTGTAAAATAAAGTATCACTATAGTATGATAACAGATTTTTACACACATTTTTAATTAATTCAGAGGAAAAGACTTATGAGGACAAGTTTACTGGTATATTAAAACTATCTATGAGCCTCTATCAGATTTACCATAACAACACTGCCAAAAACCAATTTGAACACTTTCATTCTCACAAGGTTTTTCTTTGCATCGCTCTCCCTTGCTTAATTGTTTATAAAAACAAACACCGGTTAACTGTAAAGGCGTTATGGTAAGCTACAGTAAAACCTGATCTGTCGCCTAGCAACATTCTTGACTCAAGTGCCTACAACACTGAAAGAGGAACTGTCACATTTCCATAAAGTTCACAGCGGACCTTTAAAACATGGTCTGGTCATCAATTCATCTCTAACTTTCATCATAAACCTTGATGCTTTAATCTGGTCTGAAGGGCAGAGAAGCTATAAAAGTCTTTCAACAAGTCATCAAATACAGCTGTACTTCGTGGCACAGTAAAATCAAATTACAGTGGAGTCTGTCCTTGTCTAAACATGCAGGGGCATATACTGTGCCCTCTCATGACGTGAGAAGTGGATTTCATAAGTGGATTGTGGCAGAACAATGCTAGTAGCTCAGTCAGCAGTGAGATAGGCTGAAGGGACAGAAACGGCAGCATATCTGTCTCTCGCGGGTCTGTCACACTAAAAACAAGGAGAGTGAGAGTGTTGTTGCTAAACATTAACAAAATCAAAATGAGTAACCTAGCCAGGCACCCTGCCAAGAGTCATGACGTACACATGAAGGGAGTGAATTCATTAACAGAGAGAAAAAGAGAGACTGCATGGAGGCTGTATGGTCTGGTGGGAAAGCAAGAGTATGTGTGCGTTCTGTATCTCTCTGGCTATATTCAAAATGAATGTCGAGGAGCCTGAATCAGATTCACACACTCCTACCCTTGAGAAAAAGAAGTGTGTTTAATTGTTTTGAATGTGCATGTTGTGTACTTCAAATCTTAAAAGTGTATTTAAAAAAACTGTACTTGCAGATAATGATATTAATGAAACAAAAAGCCACAAAAGTTTACTTAACACACTTAAGTTTAAAAGTGCACTTTGTAAAATGTCAAATTAAAAGTTGAATTTTAAAGCACATTTTAAATCATTGCTTTAATAATCTTTTGTCATGTTTTAAAGAAATTTGAACTGTAGTGTGTTATTGAAAATTATGTTTAAAGTAAATATATTTTAAATGTACTAAATTGAAACTTCATCATTACACATACATTTAAATACATGATATACAAGTTTCAACAAGCAATCATAAAGATGGGGAGTAAATTGAGGGATAGGTCATATGAGGGGAGATAAAGCCAGATTTGAGCCACATTCAATGGCAATGTTAATGTAACCTCTGAGTCACTTTTGCAGGTGATTATATTCTCTACATGCCATTCAGCAAGTGTCTCATTTTCGCCACCATGACTCCCAGCAGAGCTCATAAATGTATGTGTGTGGTGAGTGAATAACTGCCCCCAGAAGTAGTTAAGTCTGTCAAAACACCCATTTGAGGACATCTGGGGGTCATTTACAATTGGAGAAGACTATTTATAAATGAATTAAACAATGTTTTCTTGGAGCAGATGTAGGGATTGTTTTAGTTTATAGTCATTATATTTAAATTAATATAAAAATAACAATATCCTAATTTAGTAGGTTAACATGAATGTGTATGTGTGTGCGTGGGCCGGGTTTTGCTTTTTTTATTGGAATCAAATGTCCCCAAAATATCAGTCAAATTTATAATCAGTTACATTATGGAAACAAGATAATATTTATTAAAAATGCAAAAATCTTTGTATTCTAGAAAATATAATAAGCTCAGAAAACAACAAAGTTCAATGAAAAGGTATAAAAAGAAAGGTGTGTTTGTTTAATAAAATGAAATGAAATACGTGCGTGTAAGCTTAGGTGTGAGAGTCTAAACTTCTGGATCTCTGCCAGTCAAGCTTCCCTGTACACTGAGACAAGCATCAGACCCAGACATCACTCACTTCATCCTTTCAGAACAGAGCTGGTTCCATTCATAAAAGATGAGGACATCTTTGCTTGCACACTGTGACAGAACAAACACACACACACACACGCAGCGATGTCAGATGGTGACTCAGAGGAACTCTAAGGATAGACATCCTCATACAATGATTGCTATTTTTGTTTAATCTACTCTTCCTCTCCTAATCCTTCCCTCACTCTCTTTTTAGTTCCTCTCAAATCCTCAGCTTCTGTATTCACCCTGCTTTTCTCTTTCTTCTTTTTCTCTTTTTTCTTCCGTCATTCTGACTCACCCTGTTCATTCCCTTCCCCGTTTTCTGTCATTCTCTCCTCCTTTCTCTGTTTTATCTCCTCTTTTGTCCTCTCTCTCTCATCTGAAGGGCACAGTGCCTCTGCAATGCCCTACATAGAGCTGGAAATACAAATCCCATGATTCCTTTCAGCAAAGCTGATTAGATCCAAGTAGTTATAAAACCTGGAGAGAGCTATCTGTCAGCATTCCCATTTATGTCAAGGGGAATTGCTCGGATAGTGTATGCAGCCCTGGAAGAACACAACCTGGATGCTGTCATTTTAATTTATGGGTACTGAGTTTTTGAAGCTTTTTTGTTTTGCTTTTTGAGCCAGTCACTTTTACATGGCTACTTTTGAAATAAAGATATTTTTGGCCCCATAATGGTGTCATTACACCATCTACCAGAAAGAAATAACAGGCACACCTAACCAACCAGCCAAACCCTGACCCCTTGTCCACTAGTCTGTTGTTCCCATGCAAATGCATAGTCTTGTTGTGCTGCTATGGTGTGAATACTAACAATTCAATCTTAGACATTCAGTCTAATCACATTCCCAAGGTTTTCTCTGCTCTGAAATTAACCTACCTTTTTCTAAAATATGGCTTTTGCTTACAAATCTCCCTGCAATCTTTGTAAATTCAAAGTCTTTAAATATTACTGAAAAAAAACTATTGGGATAAATATATCTTCTGACCCTTGAATTGCTGTTGAAGTGGATCTGAGTGGCTTTTTAAGTCAAAGCAGTACAGCTATTAGGACAATCATGTGTCGTCATACTCATAATGTGACTAAATCATCTCCAACGCAGTTCAGCAACTATGCAATTCATGATAGTGACAGAGAGAGACAGAAAGATGATTCCACTTAATATGCAAGTGAACAAAGGGGAAAATAACATGGGTCAAGAAAGCATTGCAATAGCATGGAACAAGAAAGCATAGCATGGGTCTTCAAAATATTGAATCCCCATTCAATTAAAGCATCATTAACAAAGTATACACTCCAAGAAATGATTCGTCCATTCAGGAATTATCACCATAGATAAACAAAATCAAATGCAATAAATCTTAATTAAGTGTCCATTTAGAAGAAAACAACCAGAGTGAGCGAGACACAAGACCCCCTGCCAAATGCATAACATATGTGACAGTACAGACTTTACATGTTCCTATTGATCTTAATGAAAAAAATAACACTGCTTGTATGTGTCCTACAATGGCTGAATACGATCACCTCAAAATCACAGCAATAGCCCAATTTCAGCCAATCACCCTTATCTATCAGTTGCCATGGAAACACCAATGAGCTGTCAGCAAACACAGCTGTCATTCAAGCAATCAGTGTTTCAAAGGTGTGGCAAAATATTGTGAGGAACTAAGAGCATGCAGGGCCATAAGCTACACTACCCAGAAGTACAGGTCAACATCGTTGCTACATTTTTCTATAAAAATTAATGAACACTTTCTTTGTTCAGCAATGCTTGGTTAAACACAGATCTTAATCTTCAAAACAACAGACTGGTTTTTCCCGTAAGAAAACCCTTGTTAATTCAGACATAAAACATCCTTTTTTCCCTCCTTCTAGACATTTCATGAATAATTACAGACAAACAGAACTAGGCCTATGTTGAGCTCTCTAAAGCTTTGTTCAGACAGGCAGGAAAAATCTGATGTTTTGGCCATATCTGACTCATCTGTCTGTAGCAAATAATAAAAAATGGGTTACACTTTACTTGAAGGGGTGTGCATAAGACTGACATGACACCTTCATAATCATGACATGACACCTACATAATCATGACATGACACATGTCATGAATATGAAGGTTTTTTATGCATGTTTATGACAACTGTCATTAAGTGTCATTCGCTCAGTTATGTAATTTTTAATGCAAAGATGACATTGTTTGAGATGTCTTTGTTATGGGCTATGGTTGGGGGTAAGGTAGA